GCCAAGGCCTGTGGCTCACAATAGGTCCTAGGGGAGGTGGCGCCCCAAAACAATGGATAGTGGTGTCGCACATGTTGCATTCTTCCAGTAATCTCTTTTTTAACTGTGATTGGTGGAATAAGAGGTAACATCATCAAATTACAGCCAATAGGAAAACAGAGCAACCAGTCAGCACAACACCCCAACTTATGTTTTGCTGTTGGATATTTATTCTCCTTTTCATTGTTCAGGTTGCGATAATACTGAAAATGCTATGGGCAGTGTGTATTTAACGTCACATCTCCCAGAGTTTAAATAGTGAAACGAGAATAAATATCCAACAGCAAAGCATAAGTTGGGGTGTTGTGCTGACTGATTGCTCTGTTCTCCTATTGGCTGTAATTTGATGATGTTAAATCTTACTCCACCAATCACGTTTAAGTAAGGGATTTCTGGACGAATGCAAAATGTACGTCAAAACTATGAAGAATTTGGGGCGATGCCGCATGTGGAAGGGCCTCTGGGGGTGCCGTCACCCCTGGCAGTGACCCTGCCGCCCCTGGAAAGGCAGCCACTGCGACTAGGAAGGCCCATACCAGCGACGCCGGCCCTAGGAGGGCCCATAGGGGCGCCGCAGCCCCTGGCAGGTTTCTTGGGAGCAGAGGCGTCCCATAGAGGGACCCTGGGGGAGACACCGCCTCTGGAAGGGTCCCTGAATGAGCCACCGCTGTGGTATGGCCCCTGGGGGCGCCGCCGTCCCTGGGAATACCCCTGAAGGCGCCCTAGTCCCTGTAAGGGACCCCTGGATTGCTGCTTTCCCTGTGAGGGTCACTTGGCCATGCAAGGCACGGAGGTGCCCCCAGGGCCCTCTCAGGGTCGGCGGTGCCGCCCAGCGGCCTGTCAGGGGCACTGGATCCACCAGGGGCATTCTTAGGGACAACTGCTATCCTAGGGGCCTTCTCAGGGAAGGCGGCGTCCACAGGGGCCCTCCAGGAACAGCCAAGCTTCCAAGGGCCTCTAAGGGATGGCAATGCTCCAAGGGACCCTCGCAAGGACAGCAACGCTCCTAGGGACCCTCACAGGGACTGCAACGCCCTCATGGGCCCTGCTAGGGGCACTGGCGAGCCCTGGGGCCCTCACAGGGACAGCCATGATCCCTGGGGCTTTTCCAGGGACGGCGGCACCTCCAGGTACGTTCCTAGGGACCATGGGGCTCCCAGAGGCCCTGCCAGCGGCGGTGGCGCCTTTAGGGGCCCTTCCAGCGGCGGTGGCTCCCCTTAGGCCTCTTTATGGGGCGCCACTGCTCCCAGGGACCCTGCCAAGGCCTGTGGCTCGCAAGAGGTCCTCCTAGGGGAGGCGGCGCCCCAAAACAATGGATAGTGGAGTCGTACATATTGCATTCTTCCAGTAATCTCTTACTTAACTGTGATTGGTGGAATAAGAGGTAACGTCATCAAATTACAGCCAATAGGAAAACAGAGCAACCGGTCAGCACAACACCCCAACTTATGTTTTGCTGTTGGATATTTATTCTCCTTTACATTGTTCAGGTTGCGATAAAACTGAAAATGCTATGGGCAGTGTGTATTTAACGTCACATCTCCCAGAGTTTAAATAGTGAAACGAGAATAAATATCCAACAGCAAAGCATAAGTTGGGGTGTTGTGCTGACTGATTGCTCTGTTCTCCTATTTCTGAATAAAATGAAAATTTGGAGAATGGCGATATGTGGAAGGGCCCCTGGGGGTGCCGTCGCCCCTGGCAGTGACCCTGCAGCCCCTGGAAAGGCACCCACTGCGACTAGGAGGGCCTATACTGGCGCCGCCGGCCCTAGGAGGGCCCATAGGGGCGCCTCAGGCCCTGGTAGGTTCCTTGGGGGCAGAGGCGCCCCATAGAGGGACCCTGGGGGAGACACCACCTCTGGAAGGGCCCCTGAATGCGCCACCGCTGTGGTATGGCCCCTGGGGGCGCCGCCGTCCCTGTAAGGGACCCTGGGATTGCTGCTATCCCTGTGAGGGTCACTTGGCCATGCAAGGCACGGAGGTACCCCCAGGGCCCTTTCAGGGTCGGCGGTGCCGCCCAGGGGCCTGTCAGGGGTGCTGGATCCACCAGGGGCACTCTTAGGGACAACTGCAGTCCTAGGGGCCTTCTCAGGGAAAGCGGCGTCCACACTGAATCCTCCAGGAACAGCCGAGCTTCCATGGGCCTCTCAGGGACGGCAACGCTCCAAAGGACGTTTGCAGGGACGGCCACGCTCCTAGGGACCCTCACAGGGACGGCGGAGCCCTCATGGGACCTGCTAGGGGCACTGGCGACCTTAGGGGCCCTCACCGGGACAGCCATGATTCCTGGGGCCTTTCTAGGGATGGGGGCGCCTCCAGGTACGTTCCTAGGGACCGTGGTGCTCCCAAAGGCCCTGCCAGCAGTGGTGGCGCCTTCAGCGGCTATTCCCGAGGCGGTGGCTCTCCCCAGACCTCTTTATGCTGCGCCACTGCTCCCAGGGACCCTTCCAAGGCCTGTGGCTCACAATAAGTCCTCCAATCGGAGTCGGCGCCCCAAAACAATGAATAGTGGTGTCGTACATATTGCATTCTTCCAGTAATCTCTTACTTAACTGTGATTGGTGGAATAAGAGGTAACGTCACCAAATTACAGTCAATAGGAAAACAGATATCAGTCAGCACAACACCCCAACTTATGTTTTGCTGTTGGATATTTATTCTCCTTTTCATTGTTCAGGTTGTGATAATACTGAAAATGCTATGGGCAGTGTGTATTTAACGTCATATCTCCCAGAGTTTAAATAGTGAAACGAGAATAAATATCCAACAGCAGAGCATAAGTTGGGGTGTTGTGCTGACTGATTGCTCTGTTCTCCTATTGGCTGTAATTTGATGACGTTACATCTTGCTCCACCAACCACAGTTAAGTAAGGGATTACTGGACGAATGCAAAATGTACGACAAAACTATGAAGTTTTTGGGGCGATACTGTACGTGGTAGGGCCCCTGGGGGCGCCGTCGCCCCTGGTAGGTTCCTTGGGAGCAGAGGCGCCTCATAGAGGGACCCTGGGGGAGACTATACTGTCCTCTAGGAGGTAGTGGAGGCTTCCAGGAACTAATACTGTCCTCCAGGAGGCAGTGGAGGCTTTCAGGAACTAATGCTGCACCCCAGGAGGTAGTGGGGGCTTCGAGAAACTAATGCTGCACTCCTGGGGGTAGTGGCGGCTTCCAGAACTAATACTGTCCTCCAGCAGGTGATGGAGACTTCCAGGAACTAACACTGTCATCCAGAAGGCAGTGGAGGCTTCCAGGAACTAATACTGGCCCATAGGAGGTAGTGGAGGCTTTCAGTAACTAATACTATCCAACAGGAGGTAGTGGAGGCTTCTAGGAACTAGTTCTGTACTCCAGGAGATACTGGAGGCTATAAGGATCTAATATTGGCCTCCAGGAGGTAGTGGAGGCTTCCAGTAACTAATACTGTCCACTAGGAGGTAGTGGGGGCTTCGAGGAACTAATACTGGCCTCCAGGGGGTAGTGGAGGCTTCCACGAACTAATACTATCCTCCAGGAGGTAGTGGAGGCTTACAGGAACTAATGCTGTACTCCAGGAGGTTGTGGAGGCTTTCAGGATCTAATACTGTCCTCCGGTTGGTAGTAGGGGCTTCCAGGATCTAATATTGGCCTCCAGGAGGTAGTGGAGGCTTCTAGGAACTAATACTTTCCTCCAGGAGGTAATACGGGCTTCTGGGAACTAATACTAGCCTCCAGGAGTTAGTGGAGGCTTCCAGGAACTAATACTGACCTTCAGGAGGTAGTGGAGGCTTCCAGGAACTAATACTGTCCTGCAGGAGGTAGTGTAGTAAAGCATAACCTAGGCAAGTTCAGGTGCTCCAATCTCTAAGGGTAGTTGAGCCTATCTGACGACCTCTTTGTTGTCCACCCTTTCTCTATAGCAACCTGAAGTCCTTCACAAATTGCATGTACTGTAGTTCAGCCAGTGTGGATGAGATGTTGGTTGTTACTAACTATTTTACAAACTGTTTTATCTGCATAACTCATTGATAAGATGTTCTGTTATGAAAACACCACATCCCGTTTGACAGTTATTTAACATTGATCCATTGCAATACAGTATAGTATACAGCATATGTACAGAGTTTCGTCAGGAAAAACTATTTATTTTCTCTAAAAAGACTTTTTGTAAATAACTTGGATGCCAATCAACTTTTTCTCCTCAAGCTGTAAAATCCATCACTGGAAGACTGAAGCCATTCAAGAAGTCATGCAACAGCAAACATTAACTAATATGGAAATAGGTTCATATATAATTTCAGGACTACCAGCAAGTGGTGAATCACCCTATCTGTTGAACTTCCAAGTGCCCTTTTAGCTAGAAAGACAGGGTTGCTATAATACCCCATAAACTAAGTTCTGGTGTAACATCTGTAATAAACTGTACATGTAGAGTATTGGTTAAATCAACACCTCAAACTCCATGTCTCTAAATACTTGACACTCAGTTTGCACATACAGTATTACATGTATCTTGTCACCACACCAACCTTCTCAGCAATCTACAGTTATTCACACACAATTAAATGCTTCAACTTAAGCTTTAAAGTCATAGCCAAAAGTGTGTCCCAAAATATATTTGCACTTCAAAATTTTCGGATATTTCAACCACACCAAAAAAATATACAAATTAGTGAAGGCCGAATTTGTGTATTTAGAATCATTAGATTATTCACCTTATTTTTATCCACTGTAAACCCTGTTCATAATCACATAATGTTGTAGGTCAGTTCTCTTAAACTAAGTTGAAAAAATGACATTTTATGCAATTGATGACTACCCTATACAGATGGGTAACAGCATGCCCTCCTACCCACCATTTCTATGACAGGTACAAAATTAATTATACAGTATAATTAAGTTGACACTGCAGGCAACATCAGCAAGATTGACTGATGGTCAGCTAGGAAGGACAAATCATAATGGTGTCATAAAACCATCATACTCATAACAACAAATTTATTTCACACAATGATACAAAATAATGTGAGCAAAAAAAAGGGGTGAAACCTTAGGCATATAATATCACACAACACTTTTGACACTCCTGAAATATCACAGACGTCAGTGGCTGGACTTGGTAATTCCTATGAAAATAATATTGTCATATAGAGATATACAAAAATATCCTCTTCTTCAGGAAAAGTTTTCTTGTCAGGCAAAGGTGAAAATATTAGTCTATGACCAGTCATTGCAATATACATAAAGAACACATTACAATTATTGATACATTGTTCAATTTTACAGACAGATGCTTACGTTGCATGCTGTACAATATATTACATCTTACATGCATTATCTAATTATTTAAAAACAGCATAGCTATGCAATCTTGAGAAAACACCGTAATTCTATTTTACAAATATTTAAAATCAGTATCATTAATTACATGGTAAAACTCTCTAGGCTGATAAATAAGTTACTTTTTTAGCTAATATGCTCATAACTACAGTGACGGTTTCAGCAATTAGACTATCCAGGATTTCATTGGCCACTTGAGTTTTGACAGCAGCTTCATCTTCATCATAATGTGTCCAGCTAGATTCTTCTGCTTGTAGTTCTTTTACTAACACCTTGGGAGAGAAAAATAATTATTAATATATGTCCCTTGAAGGTCAGGCGATCAGTACATTACCGTAATGAATTAATATAATTGACCTTGGAACTTTACATTTGATTTTCAAAAATTTTTCTCATATATTGTCTGGTTTAGGATATGTAACTCTTGATTATTCTAGGAAATAATATCAAAGAAGATACTAAGGAGTGTTCATTCTTATTCTATTTACTTTTCTATGACCACATTTTCACTGTGGCCAACTTGAGTTATCAATAATATTTTCCGAGACAAATTTTTTGGGCACATACATCTATCTCTTATAATTTCCCTTTTCTTTAACCAGTGTTGTCTTTTCCTGCCACCCTGCCAGCACTTATACTTGATGATGATGATCTCATTCTTACATACCACTAGGTAATAAAATAGTAGCCAGAATATTCAAATTTCATGATCAATTCAAATAAAGGAAATCAGGAGAAGTACTTTACCTGGTCTACAAGATCTCGATGTTTCCGTGCCCAACGAACTAATAATGACTCCTTCTCTGATGACGGTTTCCAACAAAACAAAACTTTTATTTGCTCCTGAATGTGAGACAACATGAAAGTTTTTGATTTGCTCCGTACTACATAGTGCATCCGAGTAGGGGGAAAAGCTTGTTTTATCCAAGGTGGAGGTGGAGGTGCTTGTTCAACTTGATGTGCTTGGGAAACAAGTTCACGTGCCAGAGAAAACAACAAGAAGCGGAATGTTTTAGCACTGGCTTCATCCTCCTCAACAGTCTCATCTTCTGAACTGCAAATAAAGTAAGAGATTGTTCACACACTTGACCAGTAAATTGGTTTATGTTTGACTACTATAAAAAAGTTTGAACTCATTGTGAGCCATTTCGAATGTACACAAATAAAAAAAGACAAGAGCTTCCAGAAACAACTTCCTTCTAACTCCATACTGATAATTTACCTTTAATTCTTGGTGTATGAGAACTAATGTCTTTGATTCTCTAGAATTGGTCTCAATGTATTATCTTTAGTCCTCTTTCCTTTTGTGAAAACAGGATCACAAGTAAAAAACAAAAAAAAACCCTTATAGTCAAATAACAATGAGATGTCAAGTCCCCCAAATTCCTCATCTATTTTTCAAAGCATATTAACCTAAACGCAGGCAGGAGAATAAGTGCAAGAAAAGTGTTTCATAAGATTGATTGATTGATTGGGTAAAATATCTAGTGTCGCAGCCTGTGGCCATTTGATGCCGAAAATTAAACTTATAATTTAAACTTTAATATAAATAAAATAAAATCCTATTAAGTTTAAAAAATAAAAATAAAAAATAATACAAAATACCGTATTTATTTCAAATTACCTACACCGTACAGCCGGGTCAGTACTTTTATCATAATTAAAATTTTTAAAAGGCCACCAGCAGGTGCTGAACTTCTCTCGCTAAGCCTGAGCACCTTTGAGATGGAGAGAGATCCATCCGCCTACCGGCACTGGGCCCCCCAAAAAAAAACGATTTTTTAAGTCCCCATGACTGGGACACACTACCAGCAAGAATCTCACAGTCAGCGGCACCAGGCAGTCATCACAATAGAGCTGTGATCATCTGGCCATAAGGTAACTGTGGGTGAGGTGAGTGTGTCCAACACGTAGATGGGGAAGGGCAGTCTCATAGCAGCGGAGCATCCAAGGATATTCCTACGAATAAATCTCTTTTGTAATCTTTTGCAACTTGTTGGGAATGGATAACTTGTCCCATTGTAGCTGACCTGACCACAAGGAAGTAATCTCTGTGAGGGAGGGAGCATAAAGGGGCAAGACGAGAGGCAGCAGACTTAGCCACCTTGTCGCTCTATAATTACCTCGTATAGACACAGACACATTATGGTCCTGCAGACAGGGGACCATTAGCCAGTTAAAAATATCTAAAACAAGAGGATGGATGGGATTAAAAGATTTCAGAGAAGACAGTGCTGCTCTGGAATCATTAAAAACAGTAAAAATCCCACCCTTAAGTGTGCTGATTTCTTTAAGGACTAGGCAGATAGCAGAGCTCTCTTTTTGGCCGCTATGGCCACTCTGCACTCTTTAAACCAGTGTTCTTCAAATTACAGGTCCCATAATAATAAATAAATAAATATCAGAGGCAGCAGGTAATGATATAACTTGGAATCATTGTTTCATTCACCGTGGAGCGCTGACTGCCATAGGTATCCCTGATAATCTAAAGGATGTTCTGAAAGATGTGGTGAATGTTGTTAATATGATCAGAGGAAGTTCACTGAACAGTCGGCTGTTTGAATTGCTGTGCTTAGTAATGGAAGCTGATCATTTACACTTGTTGTATCATACAGAGGTTCGGTGACTTTCCTGTGGCAGAATTCTAACAAGGGTTTATGAGCTAAGGATGGAGATTCATCTTTTCCTCTTAGAAGAAAAATCTGATTTGGCAAACGTATTTTGAATAATGCATGGATATTAAAACTGTCATACCTAGCAGACATTTTTTCAAAGCTAAATGAATTCAATCTGAAATTGCAAAGAAAGAAAAATGATGTATTCCGACACAGTGAGGAAATAAAAGCATTTAAGAAATCAATAGTGCTATGGCAAGCCAGACTTGGAGTTGATCGCCAATCTACTACATGTTCCCAACACTATTGCAATATATTGAGGAAAACTGCATCACTGAAGAAAGTTTTAAGAAAATGAAAGGTAATATACAGCTACACCTCCTTGCTTTGTGTGCCAGCTTCGATCAGTATTTTCTTGAAGGAAAGTTCAAATTTTTGAGAGAAAAACACTGGGCAAAAGACCCATTTGATTTTGAGAGGCCAGAATCTATTGTAGAGTTGAACCTAACACCTGATCAAGAAAAAGAGTCATCATCTGTGTCATCATTCTGGATCAGTGTTACCAAAGAATATCCGCTCTTAAGTAAGGAAAGTGTCTTGCTGTTACAACAACTTACATGTGTGAAGCAGGTCTTTCCACCCTGACAAAGCTAAAAACAAAAGAGAGAAACCAACACAATACTGCAGCTGATATGTGTGTGGCATTATCCTCCTGCAAGATCACAAGCAACAGGCAGGCCCACCAGTCACACTAAACAGGTAAATAAACGGTCTTACTCCATCTTATTTGTTGCATTTTACTTAGCACTTTTATGTGGGTTGCAATTATTTCCTGTCAAAATCTATGAAAGCACTGGTTTAAAATTACATCACATGTATGTGTTTTTAATCCATATACTGTATATGTATGTATGTAGGTAAGTAGGTAGGTAAATATATGTGCATATTATGTATAATTGTAGTAATTTCAATTACTGGCATTCAAGTAATACTATGGTATTGACATCACTATGATATAATAAAGAAATAGAATTTACATATACTATATTACATAATTTGTCTATGCAATTGATGTAATGCAAATTATCATCATTATAAGTTAGCATTCATAGCTTTACCAGATAAGTAACTTGAAGATGTAGCAAAATTACTTTCCCCGAATGTACATATATGTATTATAAATATGCACGTATGTATGCAGGCATGTATTGGTAGAGTGACCTTTATATGTGTTTATATCCATAAGAGAGGGGGGTGGGGGGGGGGTGCTCTTACAACTGGCAATAGGGTCATGAAGGTACTGCACAAAATTGTACCGGGTCACGATGAAAAAAGTTTGAAGAACACTGCTTTACATCTCCATGGGATTGGCTGCCTTTTATAAAACTCAGAAGTCTTGGGGATGGTTTTTTCACCAACACTAAGGAGCACTGAGGTAAAGTATTCCACCACTTCTTCCGTCATCTGGAATTCGTCCACCTCTTTTTCTACCTCAGGTAGGAGTTTGAAATGGCCCCAGTCAGCCCTGTCCAGACACCAGCGAGGAAGATGGTTATGACCGATCACATCTGGTGTGCGAAGGATGACTGGAAAGTGATCACTCCTACATAGATCATCCCAGATTTCCCACAAAATGCTTGCTGCTACAGAACACAAGGAGGTCTATGACAGAGTGGGTTCTTGTCTGCACAGGGAAATAGGTTGGGACACTGATGTTCATGATATGAAGATCTGGATCCTGTACTACAGACTCCAACATGGCTCCTCGTGGATTGGTCACATTGTCTCCCCACAATCTACAACTTCTATTCAGATTCTCCCAAATTATGAATGGAGGAGGAAGCTCCCTCCTTTACCAGGAGGGAGGTATAGTGAGAATACAATGTACACCCTTCTTAGAGGGAGGCAAACAGCCACTGCCTGTAGGGGGGAATGCAGTTGCATAGTGATGAATGGAATATTCATGGAGGTGGAGACAAAGATGGTGCTGCTTCCATGATGACCACCATCTCCTATTGGGTCAGAATATATGGACTGATAACCACGAGGAGGAGGATGGTGGCCTTCACCAACCATCGTCTCATGCAAACACACACAAACTGGCAAGAGGTGAGATAGCAAAAGGGCAAGAGGCTCCCAATTAGCCTTTATCACTCAGATGTTCCATTGCATCAGAGTGAAAATTATTTATGTTGACTTCCAGCGGTCTTCAACAGCCCAGTGGACGATGATGATGCCACAGGCTTGATGTGCCCAGATTTAGAGGACCTGTTGGTATCCAGGATCATCTGCCCAGACTATCAAATATCTTTAGACCCACAGGATCAAGGTCCTGTGGTTGACTGGTTCCTGCTGTTGTTGGTATTTTTTGGCAGTAACCTTTGTAGAGTCCACCAACAGTAAATCAGTCAGTGACTCTGAGGAGGGAGTGTTGACAGGAGCCTACACCATATTAGCTCTCAAGGATCCCCTTGATGATCCTGTGGGCTGAGCCTTTGGAGATTCTTCACTATGATTTCTTTTGTTACCCAGACATTCTGCTTTTTGAGAGCAAGAGGCCGAAGGAGTGGGCTTCTGAGCTTCAATTATCTAAGGTGCGGATAGTACATTAACTAATGATGTGGATCGCTTGAGATTAACATAACTAGAGGGATTAGATATCTTTAGGCTTGATGTTTTCAGTCTGAATGATGTAGGTTTTATTGTGGATGCACTATTATTTGTATTCTGCTTCTGATTATTGGAGGTTGCAAAATGTAGAGCCAGTGTCAAAAGTGGCTCTCTTTCGCCTCTTTAAAGAAAATGTGCTCCTTAGCCCGTAGGGTCAGTACTTTCTTTGAAAGAGGAAGGTTTTGCAGGACTTAAATATTGATGTATGTCCCTCTCCACAATTAATGCACAATGTGAGGGGTTGTACACTCTTCATCCTTATGAGCATCAAGCCCACATGAAGCACATACAGCAGGTGGACTTTGTTTAAGTCTGCAACTGTTTGTGGACACATGTTCAAGGTTTTTACAATAAAAACATCTTCGGATAGGCACGTATATATCTTTGCACACGAGTAAAAATGCAACCCCCGATCAGCAAATGTTATTTGCGGCCATTTTAAGAACCTAACCCCGCGAATTTTAAGGGTATGCTGTATATTCCATTTATGTATTTGCCCTTACAACAATTATTTCTTTTACCTATTTTCACAATATGTACGTAGGATGGTGAGTGCATATAACCGAGTAAAAATAAAAGAAGAAAGTTTCATACATTTACCCAAAAATACGAGTTGAAAAATACCATAACACCTCACAGCTTGGCCCAGTAGCCTGGTGGTTACAGTGACAAGTTTAACCTGGCTACAATGCCATGATTAATCACTATTATATCAGTAAACACTAATAATAACAGTAAATCAAGTGAAATATGGCAGTGAAGGAGGAGAGATACAACTGCAGACAATGTGCTGACTAGTGGTCGGTCACTCACTCCCCTTACCAGGCGTACGTATGGGAGAAATACATATCTTGTATGTACTAGTTTAATTTGAAAACGGTGCCGGGCTCAGTGATAAACAAATTATATAAACCATACATTTTCCTACGATAACACAATAAGAAGTATTGTATCATTACTAGAGTGAAAGAATATTCTCACAAACAACAAATGACAACTCTGTTTATACACCTTTATATTTTAAATGTCTTACTGCTTTTATCTTCAGTATTTTGATGTGTTGCAATTATTTTGTCACAGAGCTTAGTACAGGAACACATCCCCCCTTATTACATTAATTTATATGGGAAAAATGGGTTTGATGAACGTAATCCACCTAACGAAAGCATTTTTGTGAAACCTCACCCTTTTGTTCAATGGGGACTTGCTGTACTTGTACAATATCTCAGTAAGACTGAAAAATATTCTGGTCTTTTAGACTAATCTCTTGTGATGATAAGACTAAATATTTATCGTATGAGTCAGGTTCAAAGACACCAGGTAGGGTCTCTCTCATGACAGCAGTCTGCTGAGAAGGACGTCCCCAATGCTGGAGAGAATGTCGGTCACTACTGGACACAAAAGCTCTAGAGTGGCCACTAAAAAAGCTTTCCAGGAGATTGGTCCATTGACGAACCTGGGTTCACTAGGGTTGGAGTCAGGCCATAAAAATGTTACCTATTCTTTCACCTCCCCACCCACCACAGAGCCCAACAAGGGGAGGCCACACAATAGCTCCAGGGGAAGTGGGGAGGTATAAACAGGCTTCCACTAAATTCGATGACATCCGCAGGACCAAATGAGGTGTAGACTTTGTGGCACCTGCTTGATCCCAGTCAAATGACTGGCCCAGAGGCCAGCCATATTGACCGGCTGATTGACTTGACCGGGCCCAAGTCAAGTCTTCCGTCTTACTAGAATAAGGGAACAAAGAGGTGTATTGCTAGCCAGAGGGCGCAGTGTACAACATCGCTCAACCTCCAGGAATGGGCCGGAGGAAAGATGACACTAACCAGCTCTGAAGGCTAGCAGCTCAAGAGAATCATTTAATCTCATTCCTCCCTGATGACCGTTCCAGTATGGGAAGTCCTTTCCTCCTTGAGGAGGAAGGGGGGCATTGGTGTGGCTCATCTAATCAACAGGACCTCAAGCCTCCCCACCACTACATGGCAGTTCCCACTAGGGGAGGGGGGGTGTTTCATAAGAAGAGTTTATGATAAACACCATACTTTTGTATCCATATGTAGACAAATTTCTAAAAGACTTTACCTTCAAAAGCAAACACAATCTTTGGCTCTAAAGTCTGGAAAATATCCTATATGAAATAATCACTGCTCTTCTGTCACAATTTTCATTTACCATTACATTACTTTCACAATAATTCACACTGTCAAAATCATGGTCATCAATGGGTTGCTTACATCAACTTTATGAGCATCTGAAGGTGTCTTTAGAATACCTTGTGGATTTGGTATAAATTTTTTTAAGATGGAATTGACCTCTGTATTTCAATATGTCATATACTATGACACTGACCAATTTTTTCTTTTAAGCTCTTGCAGGTGTTTTTCCCTGGCCATACCAGGTAGTCAGTACTAAGCTGCCTTTTAAATTAATATCATTAAATAAATAACATGCAAAGTCTCTCATACACTAAAGTTTATAATGTTTGGACATTTGCTATAATGGTTAAGATATTTTTAATTCAGTTGAACAATGATATATTAACCAAAATAACTTAATCTACAAGTGTTAGTAGTTTACAATACCCCCACAAGTTTTGATAGAAAAGCTTAATATTTTCTCCATATGGAATGTTATAATTGTAATACCATCACACACAACAAATTCTAATTAAAGTCATCTTTACCTGGTGGTTGGTGAATGCACAGGTGTGGGAGGTGGCTCAACATCAAGAGGATTAAGACCACTTTCCCAGGTCTCATATAGACAATTGAGATAATCAGTGATTACGGGCATCACCTCATCTTGGGTACTTGGCACTGCATGGTACACTTCTGTTGCTAATTTCTGCTGATCCGCTTTACTCAAACGATGTGGAACACTGAAAATACATTTACTTCTATACTTTTTATAATGTTATATGGTTTTGACATGAGATAAGGATGGAAGACAGCAGAAAAAACATGTGGGTGCTGTTAGTGGAGATGCAAGGAAGGAAGGATGGCCCCTGGGAGAGAACATGACCAATATAGATAGTTGTGGTGGTCTGGGAGTGATCATTTGGGTGTGAAACTAAACATTAGAGAAACGTCAGGTGTTGCAAGGCTGGAATTAATGGATGGAGATTGTGTTGGCTTCATGTATCTGGAGAGTTATGAAGAGTTAAAACAAGTTATATTACACAATGTTTATCACAGAAAAGAAGGAAAGTTATGAGAATGATGAAAGAATCTAGAAGAAGAAAAAAAATAAAAAAATGGAGAGAAAAAGAAGCTGCTTTAAAGGAAGAAGAATTTGGTAGGAAATCAAAAGTACAATTGGAAATAAAAGTTAGAAATGAAAGAGGGAAGTTGATCATAGACACAAGAGAAAGTAAATTAAAGATGGAGAACAAATACAATATCATAAACCCATTACAGATTCACCATTTGAAAATTAGGTTAGACTGAGTTGAAATATAATAAGTTCAAGTTTGGGACGATGACATTTGTATAAGTTTCCCCAAATATTGAAATTCTTAAGAGCCTTGTCATGTGTCAAGGATCCAAGAACATCACAAAATATTAATGAGGAAGTTTGTTTCTTGTGTGTTCTATCAACCTATTATAAAGGCACCTCTAACCCATGTGTCGTGTTGTTCTCCTTATATTTCTGGTGACTTTTCTCTATACAGTACTGCCTGTCATATGTATGCATCAGTAATTGACCTTAGTGGTACAGAAAATTTCAATTGGTTTAGCTACTGATGATTCCATTATTCTTCCTGATCACACTATACGTAGTCACTGACTTCATGTGTGATTGTGAATAAGTGGTTGTGTGAGGAAAGTTTGGTCATGTCAGGTCACAAAGGTGTGTCCTATAGACAATAAGGCCTCCAACAGTCAAGTTAGTGGTCATTATGGTTTTACTGTCAGTGGATGGCAGGAAGTGGTACCAGAAGTAGTGAATTATTTCACCAGATTCTACAAATTTTCACTTAAGTTTATGATGAAGGCAGCTTCGTATTTCTTTGCCCTTTCAAATGAGACCTTATTTTCTGAAATTGGTTCACAAATACTGTACTGGAAAAATATATGAAAATGTTATTAAAAAAACTATTTTGAATAAGTGCGCTGGAGCGAGCGCTGTGGCCACCAATGAATCGTACGTCTGACCGCTAAGACTTCTCCAGCTAGACCAGCACCTCCTCCCTCTCTCTACATCACAGTAGCATATTAGAAAGATGCCAGATAGCACCAGAGAAAACAGAAGTAAGTTATCTTTTCTAGTTTATTTTCTATGAATAATTTACAAGAGGTTGTTGATACAAGTCAGAATGACCTTGAGCACACACGTGAGAGTGGGGGGGGGGGGGCATTGAATTGTCCATTAATTGCCAAATCTCTATAAATAACTTCGATATTGTGTGAGTGGCTACTGGAAGGGTGTATAAAGCTCTGAGAATTTTTTTAATGTTTCGATTATTTTAAAACATTTTCAACATCTCGCCTCAGGTTGTATAAGTAATATCTCCTTTAGCCAGAACTCTCCAACAGCTGGAATTGAAATTTGCTAAACAAAATTATATAAATTTCGGGTTTGGGAATGATTTTCCGAGATTGAAAATCAGGCACACTTTCTGGAAAATTCTGAGAACAAATTCTGGAAACTTTTAATTTTTTTTTAAGGGGAGGGGTTTGAGAACAAATTTGGAGGATGAAAATCAGGCACATTTACTAGAAAATTCTGAGAAAATTTCTGGAAACCCTCTAAAAAAAATTTCCTGGGTCTGGGAGCAAATTCCAAGGATGAAATAATGCGTACCAATTATGGAAACTCTTTCCCTGGGAAAATCAGAGAAACTTTTCCCAAAACAGTACCTGGAAAAATTCTGGGGATGTGGAGAATTTTTGGGGGGTTTGAGAGAGTACATAGTCTCATTACCTGGAAGTGCTCTGCACCAATTGTTCCGGCTAATGGGGATATCACTGTACTACTGTAGGGTATAGCTGTACTGTACATCCTTTATTTTTTCATCTCTTACCCTATGTTTGGTTCGGTATCTACAAGAGTAAAGTTGGACTTACAAACAAGCCTCAGGAATATAAGTTATTGGTAAGTAGAGGAGCAGCTGTACAGTGAAAGTGGGTCCCATAGACTACGGTATATTAGCTGTTAGGAGCTATGTGGATACAACACACTATTACTAAGTCTTCAGTACAAAAGAAGGCAATGTGGTAGACACTGTATTTCACCACCTTTATTTCCCCAGTTAAGTTTCCTTTTATAGCTGGGGGAAATGAGAGTGACACGATAATGAGTGCAGCATCCACTTGGCTGTCACACCTATGCACACCCAGAGTTGGTATATAAAAAATCTAGCATTCACAAATTCATGCTGCTTTATATCAACGCATGAAACAGGCTTGTACTACTGCCTGTATATATATATATACAGAGGAGGACAAATGAAGTAGAGAAGAAGGTCTGATAATAAAAACTATAATTGACATGGCCCAATATGGGATTTAACCTGATAACTACGACATACCCTGTACTGTACATTCTCGAATGATAAGAGGAAGAGTGCGACATACATTCTGGAATTCTGAGCGTTTTGAATGAGTGCATGCGAAAAATTTCATATCTCGCTGGGTCAAGTAAGGGATGTTTACACTCGACAGTCGTCCCACCCATAACACTGATGGCGCAGTCACATTTCGGCCACCCTAAAGAACTACAGTACCAAGTATTCTGTGGTACAATGTAAATAGTGTAATAGTATAAACAATGGAAAAACAACAATATATGTGTGTGAATAAGTGATTTTCTTGCTCAATCTGCACTTGGAACTAATCCCATAAGTGAATAGAATAAGGCTATTTACCACAATAAATTTTGTTCATACAGAAAATAAGGATATATGGTAAATAAGTACTTCTTCCATATTGCTGATCATGATTCCACATCAATGGTTGCCGTGGCTCCCTCCCTCATCCTCACATGTCATCATCCGACTCATGGCACGGCCTGGCCTGACCTCTCATCAACCCCAAACCCACTGACTTCAAAAATTCATCACAGCCAAACTAAGATAAGTAATGTACTCATTACTCATTGTTTGTGCACTGAGAGGTTGATCAGCGAATCACTCTACTACAGTTATTGAGGTAATGATGGGTAAAACACCAGCCTTTGAAGCTGAACAATGAGTGTCAGAATGTGTGATGTATGCAAAGTTTATATGCAGAACATATATAAATATATAAATAAAAGAGAATAATGTACCTTGAAGTAATTGAAGAGTTTTGAGATTGCAGGCTGGGAGTAACACTGCCACCTGGAGGGCTGCTGTAAGCTGGAGGTCTGGCTGGAGAGGAAGAAATTGATGATGATGGTGATGATGACGATGATGATGAGGATGATGATGATGAGAGAGGTGGAGTGTAGGGAGGTGGGGGCTTATTGGGCACTTCACGAATCACTAAGCCGGGGAACTGTTCTTGCAGTTTCTGTAGTTCCTCTAACCGAGCAATCTGAAAAATAAGTTATAATTGGTTAGTTCTACAGCAACTGAAATTAGAGCTTTTTATTCACTACAAACCAAGACAACACATAAAATAGTGATTTCACATGGGATGTAACTCCCCCCCCCCAAAAAAAATGAATTTAATTATAAGCAAATTATATGATGTGTTAAACGGTTAATACAAAATTACCAAGCCATATGCAAAGACTAAAATGGGGCTCTCCATGTTGTGCATTGTGAGCTACATCATAGTAATCAGGTGCTTATTAAGAATAGCTTGGGGTCTGGGAGATAGGATCACCCACTACCAGAGACAAGTTTTGCTACAGTACCAACTACCGATCAATTTCAAAAGCTCTGGTCAAAGAAACAAACTTTTGATGCAAATAAAAGAAGTGTGTGTGGTAAAGGATACAATCCACATTTTACAACACTTATAAAACTTAACAAAACTAACCTCCGCAGCAATCCTCTCTTCCTCAGCCTTCAACTGTTGCTGCTTTTTCTTGTTGTCTGCAGATGTCCAGAAGTCATCATCAAACCAGTCTCCCTCGATCCCCTCCACGGAGAACTCTGTGTCGTCACCTCCCAGCTGGTCCAATTTAGCATCCAAGTCCATGTCAGAGGAAGCCAGGTTCAACAACTTGTTTGTGAGTGCCAGCTATGCCAATGTAGACAATTTCATTACAATGGTATTAAGAAATTTTGCAATAAAAGGCAATGAAAGAATAAATAACAAAACCTTTAACAGCTTCTTACATTGACTGGATCCTTCAAAAGGTCTTAACCTCCCCTTATTGCAAGGTCTATTAACTCCCCAATCTTTTTAAAACTTTCAAACCCTTTCTCATTATAATGCATATGGCTGAAGTCAAGCACAACCTACTCTCCTCTATCATAGTTGAGTCTATAGCCCCAAATTACTGTACTAGAGTTTTTGCTCATTAATCACTCATAAGGTACAGTATTGCTGCTTGGGTATCTGTACCTTTTAACATGAGTTTCTGTCAACAAACGTACACGCTCACACCAGTTGAGCCATGAGGTAAAGTGGATATTAGTCATCATCAAGGGAATAATAAAGTCTTATGAGAGTCACTCCCCAAATAAACTCTTTTGGTGTTCAATTCACCAAGATCAAAACCCCAAGATTCTAACAATTCTCAACCTCTTAGGTACTAAACTTAAGTACAGAATCTTGCTTGTATTTATGAACAGCAAATAATACATTGCACTGTGCAAATTAATGTGATATGCAAATTAGTGATGTAAAGCCCAAATATTTCATGAACCAATAAAACAGTATAACTTTACCTTATTACAAGCTTCAATATTACACTACATAGCTAAATAGTATGTACTCAAGAAACAGGTAATATCATATAGCAACACATAAACACCACACACACATAGTAAAAGAAGTTTTATTTCTCACCGGATCAATAGCAAAATTTTCTCCCTCCATCTCCTTTGGTGCATTAGAGGAAGAAGTGTTAAGTTACAACTAACTCTCCAGTTTTGTTTTCCAATGCTTCTACACTAGCATAACATCTACACTTACTGGATTGGTAATTAACAGCTAAATAAATTAATATATATATCTCAAGCACAAAGCTACAATAAGCTAAGATATTAAAGTATGAAACACACAGAGGCCAGGAACAGCCATTACTTATGATGATACACTGATATAGGCCACTGACTGATTACATTCAGGAGAGGTCAGGTTTGTAAGGCACTACCACACCCCAATACCCCTTATAAGAATAACTGAATCACCTCAAACAATTAACTAGATTCTCTTTTTATTATTATGATACCTACAGCTAGGACTGTGTCCCAAGAGAAGAATGATGTACTGTACTCCAAACTAATGTCATTAACTTGGAATATCCAAAAATTCAAGTTTCAATATTCTTAGTAATACTAATGTCTTTATTTCCATTAGGGCTTTGGGGATACAGTAATGACTTATAGTACTGAATCAATCTACAGTGTATATCCAGACCTCGGTACAATCTCATTACTACGGCACCATAAACATGCACCAGCCTATACTGTACTGTACTGTGTCAAACATAAATAGTACTGTTAACTCATTACAGGCATACCGACAAAAAGCATGACCATAAGATACTTGATATTATAAAAATAGATACTGGACATAATTGCATGACTTACACAATGCAAAAGCAAATTACACAAGAAAATCTATTTCTTACACGAACCACAAGTTGCAAGGTTCATACATCAATTCAAAATAAAGACAAGAATTAATGCAGTTTTATTTAATTTAAGATTCCTCACCATATCAAGGCTGTAGTCATCAGCCTTGGCGATATCATGACTGGGTGACACGGCCTGGTCCTCACTATCTTCCTTTGTTACTTCCGAAGGAGAAGCAGCACCGAGAGCCGCAGCATCCGTTCTGGCAGAGACTGTCTCTGGGATGTGCTCTGGCCCAGTGTCTTTGTGTGATCTCAGTGGTGAAGCTGTGGAGTTGCAACACATTTAGTCTTATATCCCTTAACTATTCTTTCTCTATCTCTCTTTAAACATTTAATTCCATCACTCTATAATTTCAACTCCATAACTTCACTCTGAAGGCATATATCTATCTTTCCCTCCACTTCTCTGTATCTCTCCTTCATTTTTAACTATCTTTCGTTTACTTCTAACTTAATTTTTCTCTTTCAAAACTTTAAATTCTATCTTCTCTCCATATCAGATTATGCATCTCTCTCTCTGAACATATTGTATAAGCTATTCTCTACAATAAAGTCTTAGGTAATTATATACACTCTAGCAAACAATTAAAATACATTTTTCAAATAGTACAGTAATATCTCCGTTAGCCGGAATCCCTCAAATCCTGAACTCTCCGATAGCCGGAATTGAAATTTTCTCGGAAAATTGTTCCCAAAGCCGGAACTTTCCGGAAATTTACGGCTCTGGGAACGATTTTCCGAGGGGCACATTTTCCGGAAAATTTTGAGAACATTTTCCCGATACCCGGAAAATTCCCCGGAGGGGGGGACTTTTTTTTCCGGGATTGAGAGATGAAAATCAGGCGCATTTTCCGAAAATTCTGAGACAATTTTTCCATTACCCGGAAAATTCCGAGGATGAGGGATATTTTTCCGGACTCGAGAGATGACGTAATGGACAATTTCTGGAACCTCTGATGAAATTTTTCCGTTAAGCAGAAAATTTCGGGGACGAGGGATATTTTCCGGCTTTGAAAGAGTCGTCTCGTTACCCTGAAATCTCTCATTCCCGGAAGTGCTCTGCACCAATTGTTCCAGCTAATGGGAATATCACTATATCATATTGAAATAGGAGGGAATTCAACAGTCCACCACAACTAATGACTATACAGTACTGTATAACAAAGAAAAAATTTTAATCTGTGAGAAGAAAAATCTGATATCTATGGCAAATACTAATGGTACCGTATACCGTGCTGTATATATGCGGATAAGACATATACAAAAATAATATCATGTTTGTTTACATACAGAAATCCTTAAGTAGCTATATTACCAATAAAAAATTATCCCTAACCAGCCTAAGAGACTAGAATAATAATGTGTAGCTTTAATACAGTATTTTATAACATACTAAAATATTACAATAAACGAAAAGATAAATTTTTCCACCATGAAGATAATAAGAACTAACCTGGGGCAGGAGAAACGGGTGAGAGAACACCAGGACTCAGGTCAAAGGTTAACTGAGGGGCTAGCTGGAGATCTGTTGGTCTTGGTGAGGTTAGTGAAGGTGAGCGAGGCGATGAACCCCCTTCAGCAATTAGTTCATTGACTCGTTTTAAGATCTGAGACTTGCTGTTGCTACTGGATTTGGAAGTATTAGTGAGCTCTCCTGACGACACCTTAGAATCGACCTCTCTGATGGACCCCGACCCGTCAAATGATCTGGGGGAATCGGAGACTTCATGATGAGCAGTTTTATTGGTCCCATCTCGCTCATTGTCCACATGAAGCCGAGAGGACACCGACTGTTGAGTTAATGATGGTGTGGTACCATTAATAACCAACTTGGACTTCTTATCAACACTATCCTTGTCTTTTATTATGTTTGAAAAGAGTAGGGTAGTATCCTTCATCATGGAGGCCAGCAAATTATTTGAGATGTCATCCACAAGTCTCTGTTTATCTAAGGAATGCAGCTTTGTGTCCTTTTCTTTATTTTCTAATTCTGTTTTTTGTGAAAGATTTGATAAATTGTTGGATTTATTAACAGATAACTCAGGCCTTAAAAAATCCTCCTTATCTTCTGAGAGGGATAAGGAGTGACTGGTATCATCATCCGACTTATTCTCAACCGAGGGAGGACGAGATGTGATGACTATTTCTCCCGACTCATGACTGTTGTTCTCACTAACAATGTCCTCAAAGATATCTTCAGCGATTTCCTCACCAATGCTCTCATCTACACTTGTATCTCTGTTTTGGTCAGTAGACTCATCTGCTTCAGGAGACTCGGCATCTGGTGTTGGAATAAATATTTCCAACTTTCTTTCCCCTTCTCTAGGAGTCACCAATAGATTAAAGTCCTGAGGCACTCCTGTTTCATCATTAGCATCAGTGTTCTTATCTTCAGTAATATCTTTCTTTGGCAGTGATGGGCTTACTTCAGCTGAAGTAGTGGCATCCCCATCTTTTTGTGATGAATCAATTTTCTTTGGACTATGAACAATTGTCTCAGTGCTTGAGGCCTGAGATGGAGTGTTATCTGTGTCAAGACTGGAATTCCGCGACGAGGACTTCTTCGGAGAGGAACCTTCTTCAGAATGTTCGGATATTGTTTCTTCGTCAAAGCTGTACTCCTCCGAGACATGTGATGTGGAATCCTGTGATGAGGATTTCTTTGGAGAGGTACCTTCTTCAGAATGTTCAGATATTGTTTCTTTGTCAAAGCTGTACTTCTCTGAGACTGACGATGTCTCTGAAGGCTCAGCCTCCTCTTGAGGTATGTTAGCATCTCCTCCAAATGTCTGTCGAGTGTACGGGCAATCGTCTTTGTCTGTTTTTACTTCCTTACTTGTAACTAATGGAACAATCTCCAATTCATTGTTAAACAAACTTCCTGTCTGAGCAAGATGTGACTCCAGTGCTAATTCTATCTCCTGTGATTTGGGTGAAAGCGACTCATCTGTTTTAATCTCATGAGACTTAGATGAACACGAATGATCAGATTTAGAACTTTCAGAGACCAAAGAGTGATCAGAAACATCTGATTTCTCTGGACTTGTCACCACTGATTCTGAAAGCCTTGATTTTTTAGTTTCAGCAACTTGAGGTTTCTTGATGACAGGTCTTACCATTGATGCCTGCTGAAGTTCTTTGGATTCCTTTTCCAGGTCCATTCTTGCTTGATGAATATAGGCATCGTAGGTAGAGATTTGTTGCCTGAGCGAACGTTCCTGGGAAGCCAGACGTTCCCGCCGCAACCTTCTTTTTTCTTTTTTAAGTCGGTCAGCTTCAGCTCGCCTTGAGGCTAATTGCTCTCTAAGAGCTAGGAGTTTACCCTCTCCATCAGAAATATCAGAAGCAGTTTCTGTTTGTGACAATGTGAAGGAGTCGTCTGACTCACTAGAATATCTTCTATGCTGCCTGTGAGGAGAACGTGGTGATAATGGCACCCTGAGTGGAAGTGGCAAGGCTTTGTTTGAAGATATCTTTTGATTGGATGATCTTGCTTCACCTAGCCTTGCATTACTATATCTGGCTTCATTTCCCACTGGATGTTCACCGCCAGACCTGGAGGAACCAGAAGCTGTTCTAATTTTTGGGTCTACACCAAGCTCCTCCGAGACAGAAGAATCAGATCTTGACCGTGTTGGTACTTCTGATCCTGTGGAACCAGTTTTTATATCATTCTGAGCATCAGAGGATCTTGAACTTTTTTCAACCTCATCTGACTGAATTGTATAAAATTTCTCTGTTCCTTTCAAACTTTTCTCACTTGATGTTGTCTTAATACTACTTTGTTTTTCTACTGATCCTGAGGAATTTTCATCTGAGGGAACTGTTTGGATGGAGCTACTTTTGTCAGTCACTCTAGAGTTTTTGTCTGTATGGACTTCCTGCATTATTGTTGAATTTGGTTCTTCAGTGTCACTTGCAACTGTTTTGGCTGTAGCACTCTGGACAATGCTCAACTGTTTCTCACTCAATATCTCCTCTGGGGATGATGATCTTTTGGAACCAGTAATTTCTACAGGTACTGAAGTCACAGTCTTGCAACTTCTAGCAGTTGATCCTTCATGTTCAGAAACAGAGGAAGCTATGTCACTCTGAGATATAGATTCACTTCCCCCTTCTTCTGGCACTGAACTCTGACTGTCATGTGTGTAGGCATCAAGACTTTCTTCTGGGACGGAGCTTTCCGCTGACATTCTGTTATTTTGTAAGAGTACTGAAAGTGGCGAAACTGCAGTCGGACTCTTATCTCTCCTGTCTCGTGACCTCTTGGTAATGAGGTCTCCCTTCCTCTTGGACTTCCCTAAATCCTTGTCAAGTATTTCATATGGAGACTTGCTCTTTAACCTTAAAATTTCTCTATCCTCAAGCAACAGTTGCTGTTGCAAGGCCTCGGTTTCAGCAGCACGTCGTTTTTCTTGCATTCTGACGGAAGCAATCCTCTTTCTTTCTTCAGAATGGGACCTTCGCTTTTCCCGACCTCCACCATCCGAAGGACTGCTCGATCCAGTATCTCTCCCCTTTAATAAGAGACTAAGTGATATATCTTCTTGAGCATCACTAGATGAAGATGCACCCATTTCCATCAACCTAGGAGTCAGCCGTGGAGAGTTAGGGCTAGGAGAATGACCCCTGGATACAGTTAGGTAGCCTCTACTACCAACTGTTGACATGTTGGTGGTAGTGGCAAGCAAATGATGATGCTGGAGAAGCATTAACCTTCTTTGCTGTACTGCAATGTTTTGTGTCTCAATAAGGCGCTTCAGATGTGTCCTCTGTTCACGTAACTGCAGGAGAACAGCACGCTGGCGTTTACGCATGCCTATCCCACCCTCTGACTGTAGTGCTGCCAGCTTCCATTTAGCTTCTTCAATCAGCGATTGTTCCTAGGATCATAAAAAAGTTAATTAATTGGTATTGATGAGACAATTAATACAGAAAAATGAACAAGTTAAATGTTCAGTTGGAGACCCAACTCTGCCACAGGTAACCAGGACAAACACTAACCTACAGGTACCAGACCAACTAGCCGGCAAGCTTGGGACCATAGGTGAGCCAGATTTTGCGATTTGGCGGATTTTGGGTCCTAGGCCCAGCATATACAGTACGTACTGTACAGGCAGTCGTTGCCAAAAGCAAATTTAACATAGGGATTAATGAGAAAAAGTTTCAATTTGCATTATTCTTTATTTTACATACACCAAATATGAAGAAAACTTAACTGTCATAAAAAATCATACAAATGATCATTAAATAAAATAGCAACATATTCTATGTACAAAATATACAGTAGCTCCTAAGTTCCACCTCATAGCATCCCCTAACTAGCTAGAGTACGGCGCCAGATGCACTATCACCACCCACTGCCTCTACTCACCTCCCACACACCTATATACAGTACAGTACATCCATGTATTTAATTACATTTTGTTTTATAGTTTTTTAATACATCTTCTTTATTTTTAAGTCACATTAGAGTATTAAGTGATTTTCCTACAACATTTATAGTTTCATTATATGTAACAATTGCAAATGTGTAGCCATCTGAGGCTACAGCTGACATGGGGAGTTCCAGCATTACTTATAATGGTTATTTACATAGCTGCTCTTTATACTATCAATATGTCAGTCTTGTGTACTGAGTGGCTAGGCATTAAGTACTGTATACTGTCACAAACTACCTGTAAATATGTTGATGGAGTGTGTGAAGAGAATTACCCATCATAACAAACAAACATACATTATAGTGATTCATTGTTATTGGATTACATTAATGCTGTGTTTCATATTCAGCAAAATAAGGGGAAACTTATAATAAACCATGAAAATACTTACCAAAGTAGTTATAATTAGTCATCTTGGTGACAAGCACATGTAGAGTACACACACAGGCTGTAGAGGTTGAAAGTTGTTGTTCGCTCAAAAATTTCTGGTGAATTTTTTAAAACATGTCCTGCAGATTTAACTGTCTAACATATTTTGACCTTTCTTGTACCTTAACACTTTACATTATATGCTGCTCACTAATGAACCTCTTCTGCTTTATTCCCCAAATCAGTTCCTCAGTCAGATTCATGCACTTAACTTTAGAAATTTTCTCTTGTTCTTTCAATACTATACATTGCCATCATCAGTGAGTTGGAGCATAACTGGAGCATTTTCATCAATGTTTAAACACTCCTGTACAGCCTCTTTATCCAGCAACTTGGCTGCTTCACATGACATCCTTCACTTTTTGCATCTCCAGACACACAAAACCAAAAAAATCTGGTTCAGCATCACCACCACCATGAAGGAATAAGGTAGATGGCTGCATGTTATGCCAGCCATTTATCAAAATGTCAAGGCATCTTTAACATTAAATTCTTTATGAAATTGTTATGCCCCTTTACCTTTGTTCCACAAAAAATTCCGTTCTTATACTGTACAGGATCTGCACTTGTATGCCTTGGTCTAAGGGTTGAATTAATGAAGTACAGTTAGGGGACAAATAAACAGCACACACATTGTCCTTGATTAGCATTTCAGCAGCAGGGTGTACTGTACTGAACAATTATCAAGTACCAAAAGAATTTTGGAGTCATCAGGTAGTCCTACAGACTTACAATGAGCTCTGGTTTCTGGTGTAAAGTTCTTTTCAAACCACTCGGTGAAAAGGTGTGTAATGATCCAAGTTCATTCATTAGCCTTGTAAATCACAAGAAACACAAATTCCGTTAAATGCCCAAGGATTCTGACTTCTTTATTAGTGAGCAATTTGCACTTGTGGGTGCTAGCTGTGTTGGAGCACCCAAGAATTGTAAGTCATTCCCTGAACCCTGCTGGTCCTAACTCATCTGGTGTAACATAGATTTTCCATGGCATGTAATGCCAATATAAAGAGGTTTCATGTGCATTGTAAACCTACTCAGCTGACAATCCTTCATCTGAAATCAACTTGGCAAATTTATCTCAATCTGTCTGTGCAGCTTCTTGGTCGACTCAAGCAACACACTGTCTACATCGACAATCTTCGATCGGTGTAGAGTTTTTTGGCTGTCCATTAATTCAGGCACATTACTGTCAGCAGAGAATTTAGGTTTTTGTTCTCTCTGTTTCTTAAGACCGTATATGGTTGATGTACCGACGCCATACTCCTCACTCAAGTGTCGCACTGAAGCACCATTATCCAGTCTCTTAACTAACTCCACTTTCTTTGATATAGATACTGAGCAAATATGTTTTATTTTGGACTTTCCACGATCAAGTGGATTTCCTGTGAACCTTTTGGACATGATGGTATATGATAATGGAAGCAAATTGGGACAAATAATCACTAAAAGTCAAGAGTGGCCAACACGTGCACGCACACACACACTAGCTGTTTCAAACTGAGGCGTGTGACGTGCAGGTGGCACTTACCAGTGTGTCGCCACCAATATCAAAACATAACGACCAGCCATTGAACCACAAACCCAGCAAATTTCAAAAGTAGTCACTAAAAAAAAAAAAAAAAAAAAAAAATGGTTTTTGGGAACTTCCAATTTCTTTGGAAGCCAGATAGTTGGTCTGGTACCTGTACTTGTGATGTAAAGTATATTAAATATGCTCAGAAAAGTTCTGCCTGTACTACCTCATTTGAATTTTAAGAAATGATTTATTTGATGTGCAGAGATAAGTGGAAAATTTTCTTCCATGATTTCTTAACCATATAGCAACAGAAAAGGATTACGATACAACTCTTAAGTACTTAACCGAATAGTTTAAAGTATAAATAATAATCAGGGAGGACATCACTAAGTGGGGATAAATGTGATGATTATTCCCATGTAAGGACAAGATAACCAGTTTATGTACAGGATTCTAGCCCAATGAGAAGCTAGTGTGAATATTTCTGTGATTATCTGATAAATTTTTCCTGGTTATTATACATTTTTAATATAAATACCATAACTCAATTCTTACCTGTAACTTGAGAAGAGCTTTCTGATGTTGATGTCGTACTTCTTCCTCCTTCTGTAGGGACTCCACCAGGTTCAGCGTCATGCCAAGTGCACTTTCACTTCCACCATCCGGAACTCCTGCAGTCAGTCCACCACCAACCTGAGAAGTACTTCTGTACCCCAACTGATTTAAAATATTACTTGAAGAGACAATGACGGACAAGTCTCTACTGTAGTCTCTCTGAGTCTTTACTGGGAACTGGGAGGCAGCTGATGCACTTGAACCATCACTCCCGGACTCAACTTCAAAAGACTCGGAATAGCCATCAGATATTTCCTCTTCCTCCTTACCTTTGGATGATTTAGGAGACTTGGAAGATGTATTTACAGTGGTAACTGAAGCTTGAGTTGTATTACTTTTCTCAGAATATATCGACTCTTTAGCCTGAGATGAATTTTGTTCTTGAGGAACAGATGTACTATATGCTGAAGGAACGGTCTCTTCACTGGTCACTGTACTAGCTGATGAAGACTGGTTTAGAACAGACTCCCTAACTTCAGATGCAGACATTGCTTCAGTGTCTATGGTCCCACTTGAGGCGTTGACATTTGTTGAAACTATGCAGTCTTCAGTTACTGCTCTTGATGTGCCTCTTGACTCCACAATATTCTCTGACAGTGAAACAGATTCAGACATACTCCTACTAGTTACAGATTTCATCTTCTTGCCATTTTTCACCTGTAACCGATCTTTGCTTTTTGATGATCTTGTGCTGCTTTGAGCTTCAGGCACAGATGATAATGTTCCACTTTCTTCAGTGTAATCATTTGTGATGTCTGACGATGTTTTTGTTGACAGAACTTCCTTTACAGTAGATTGAATACTTGTTTTACTTTCATGTTGTGTTGATGAGTTGCTAGCATCTCCTGTTATAATATTCTCTGATACAGAAATACTTCCAGATTCTGTTTCTGAAATGCACTGACTCTCAATTGAGCTCTTGGTGGCAGAATGAACTGAAGAGGGTAATTCTTCCATAACCGAACTCCTAGAATTACTTTCACTCTGTACATCAAATTTTTCTGAACTAGATGAGTATTTCTTGCTAATGGATGGATCACTCTTACTGTCTAAAGACTTCTGACTATGAGAACCTCTTGATCGAGATCTAGCACTTGAGGATTCAGTAAAAGATGTAGTATAATGATGAGATCCTGAAGAAGGTACCCCCAGGGGCTCATCATGAAGAAATACAGAACTTTGAACTTCTGAACCAGCATTAGCTGATACACGCACGGGCCTGAGTCTTTCCCACTGAGTTATTGTTGCACCGACGGCAGCAACGGCCGCTGCTGCGATCACGTCTGGCTGAGTATTATTTTGTTCCGGGATTCTTTGAGTGGCCTTTGAAAGGACTTGCTCAGCCCTATCCCGAACTTCTTTCTCTAACTGAGCAAAACGGTCCCTGGCTTCCTTCTCCATTCTTTCAACATTCCATAATGCTTCTTGATGTTTCTTGAATTCTTCTTTCAGCCTTGTTTCTTGTTCTTTCAATCTTCTCTCATCCTCTTTTTTCTTATTTTCAACCTCCTCTCTTTTATTTTCTTCCTTTATTTTCCTCTGAGCCTCTGCTTCTTCTTTTTGCTGTTGGAGAGCTAAAGACTGAGAAAAAGTCACTGCTTCCTGCCGACTTCTGGTCAGCACATTAAGCTGTTCTACGTTATGCAACTGGTTTAGAGCTTCACCCAGTGTGTCTTGGTACATAAGCTCTGCATTCAGTCGAAGCCTAAGACTAGTTGGTCCAAAGTGGGGGCCTCTACCGAGTAATTTATGGGGGGCTGATACTTCCTCAACATCCACAGAGTCATTTAAGCTCGAGGACTGTAAAACACCCGACGATTCAACCACGAGATCATCATCAGAGGTTGGTTGGTGTGAACTGTTATCTGTATGATGAGTTTGACTCCCCGATTTATGGACGAAATTCTCTCCATCAATATCCTCTAGTGGACCCTCTTCCAGTGTTTCATGCCCACCATCTCCTTCCTTTTGTGACCACTCGCTAATTGATAAATCTTCCTCCTCACCTTTGTGATCTGTTCTTAATGTTGTGGATTTCATACTGTTATCCCTTTCTATGCTAGACTCTGTACCTGTAACATCCGAGTTTTGTATTGCTAAGACTTTCTTTCCAGTGAATTTCTTCCGTAAGTCCACAAATTCATAATTGCCTTCCTTTACAACACCGTGACTACGTACAGTTATATTGTCTTCCTTGTTGGTGTGTTTCTTTGTTATGGTTCTTGTGTTCTTTGTGATACTGGTCTGAGTTTCTTTTTCATGTACACTAACATCCTCTAATTCAGATAATGGCCCTTCAGTTAAAGTATCATCATGGTACACTTTACTCCCACCATGGTACACTTTACTCCCATCATGGTACACTTTACTCCCAGATAAAATGTTTTCTTTATCACTGTCACTGCTCAGTACAACACCAGGTGGAACGTCTCTATTTTTCTCATTAGCAATTATCCAATTTTGAACTTTAAGTTCCTGCACTCGGCTGTCGATGAAATTCCCTAGGTTCCCCGTTTCACTTAACACAATATAAGGCTTAATCCACTCAGGCAAATCTGATCTTTGGAAAATATACTGTGAATCTGTTTTGGGCTTGAAGGTCTTGTTTTCAAGTTCTGTTCTGATCTTCCTCCAATCAATGCCTATATTCTGTCCATCATTTGACATATCATCCTGTTCAAAATCACTCAAAGATTTACCATCGTTATGGTGCTTATGAAATTTAGTGTGTTTGTGGGGAGTATTAATTTTGATGTTTCCATTAGTGTGCCGAACTTTATAATTTTTTTTCATTGATCGAAAATGATGTTTTCCCAGTAACGTGCCTGTGATCTTTCTCACACGGTATCCTCTATAAGTAGCCTGGATAAGAAGGGCTGCCTTTTCCATCTTGTTTTTCTGTGCAAGTGCATGTGGATCTCTCATACCAGGGAGGTTAGCATACCTTTGGGAACTCAGTGTCCCAGAGTGAGAGGAAAAAGGAGTATTCTGATAAACATATCTGGAGGGTTGTGTTGGCACCCTGTTTGTGAATTTTTTCTCTTCTCTAATTTGTCCACGTCGGTCAGTACCATTTTGGTCAACGTTGCGTCCCGGGAGGGATGATAAATTCTCTGTTGAGGGATAACTGAACAGCAGATCATTTCCAATTTTAATACTACCACCACCAGACAGTTGCAACTTTGGAGTATCAGGAAGAATTAATTTAGGAGGTTCTTCATATAAAGCTGCCTGATGCTTTACCCCACCAAACTGATTCTGACTTTGTGGTTTTCTTTCTTTCTTATTTCCCTCAGGCAGGTCAACATTACTTTTTATTAACTGTTGTTTCATCTGACTTGGAGAGCCACCTTGACTAGTACCAGACGCTGCAATAGATCTTTCTTGAGTTCGTGATGCATTTGGGAGCATGGCAGTCATTTTGGCAATAATTTCTTCAACAGATAGAGTTTCTATTTGGGAATAAGACAGAGGTACTCTTGGTACACTGCCCCCACCAACTCCATCACTTGTAACACCACTTCCTGCTACTGGATTTGAAGCTTCTCCTCTACTCCTGTTAATTTTTGTTGTCACTGGTGGTGCTGTGTCTCCAACCAGTCTTCCTCTCTCACCCAGACGGTGCCTAAGATTTTCTTCCTCTTCTGTAATCCTGTTAGTAAGACGCTGAGCCATTTGGCCAAGTGTGATGACTCTCTGTTTTGGTACCAGATCAAAACTTGAAGTGGCTGAATGTGACTCACTATCAGAGGAACTAACAGATCCTGACGATAACGAGGAGAGGCTTTCTAAAGACACATTTGAGGATTTAACCTGTCGCTCACATTCCTCTACAGTACGACTAACAATGTCACTGATGCTGTCACTATCACTAAAAGACCTGCGCTTACTTGTTCTCTTCTTTTCCTTATTTTTTTTTCTTTTAGGAGATTTTTCTTTTACTTCTTCATCTTTCTCAGTTACTTTATGTTTATGTTTCTTTTTGCCATCCTCTTTACTCACTCCCATATTCACTTCATTTTCTGGTAAATAATTGTCAGTTTTATGAGGAGAACCATTACCCACCTGAGCCCCCCTTTGAGTCAAGTAGGTCTCTGGGTAAACCTCATGCTCACACTCATCAGAACAACCCCAGTTGGGAGGACTTCTGGCCTTACTCTGGACCTGAAAAGAGGGAATAATATAATAATAATAATAAAAGTGGGAGGAGAATTTTTTATTTAAAGTAAAATCACAACTGCCTATATCACTAAGTCATCTTTCATGTTTCTTGATATTTCTTTTTTTTTCCTGCAATATATATATCTTCTTCCCTCTTATGGAAAATTAAAAACCAGTATGCTTTTTTTCTCCTCATATTTTTAATTTTCCCCGATGTCAGTATTCAGTATGTGCTTCAATTATTCAAATAAACCAAAATGCAGAATTTGTTACCTGTTCGGAGCTGTCCCTGCACCTACACTGTGTACTAGGCTACCTCGTCTGACTTAGCACATACACCGACTACCACAACCATTTGCCCCCCCCCCCCAAAGTATTGATAGAATATATATTTTTTTCTCATTCATTTAAGAACAACAGGTGAAATAATAACTTTTGACAGACTAAGACAACTGAAAACCTGACATTTGTGACAGGACAGTAAGGCTGGGCTGTACCTGGCCAGTGTTTTTCACAACATCTGTCGATAATGCACTACTTCCTGTCTTCTTCCCTGGAGCCAACTGCTTGGTTTTGATGGCCAGCTCCTAAAACAACACAACAAATAACAAATATTACAAAAAGGCTCTGAGGAAAAACTTCAACTTTTACTACATTATTGTGTAAACAAATATAAACTACTTAATGTGCATCATAACCAAAATAAGAAAAGAAAAATTTTAGTACAGCTCCCCCCCCCCAATTTGCGGATTTTGATTTCGTGGTCCTCTATTATTCGTGGATGACACCCTGGATGTACCCAAAAATATCTGTGGGTAAATTTAAAGTTGCCAGCATTTTTGTGGCTGGGACAGGGAGCCATTCGTTCTAGAGACAGCAATTTCCTTTACCTGTATTGTAAATATAAGTGTGTGTGTGTGTGTGTGTCTACAAATAAATAATAATGGGAAAATACTCTCACAAATAATCAGAAAAATTTATTAAAAATGTGACAGTCTTCCCTCAAGTCCGTGCTTTATTTATTAAAGCACGGACTTGAGGGAAGACTGTCACATTTAAAAATACAGGCTGTAAAATTGTTTATGATTATTTGTGAGAGTATTTTCCCATTATTATTTATTTGTGTGTGTGTGTGTGTGTGTGTGTGTCTACACACACACACATATATATACAATACAGGTAAAAGAAATAATTGTCCTAAGGGCAAACACATAGAGGGAATATACATTTCTTTGTACACAAGTAAAAATGCCCCACCCCCCCCATATACATAGCAATAATTTTTTTTTTTTCGTGAGGGAAATCAGGCAGGAAATATTTCAAATGTACTGCCATGGCAAATAAATGCGTTATTTGCTCACCAGAGGCGCCATCGTGGCTGCTCACTCACGATTTCACGCTCGCCCACTCAGTCTCTCTAAGTGAATGATGAGAAAGCAGCTTACTGCTGCAGATTAAAACTTCTAACATGAGTGTAAATGGGTTGCTAGTGACATGAAAAGTGAAGTGAAGAGAATGGACAGCTTAATGGAAATGATTTAATACTGTAACTAATATTTTTGGTGTTCGTTTATGTAAGTGTGGGATTGTCAAGTGAGGGTGGCAGTGTGGCGACTGCTGCCGAGTCTGGTGTTCCCAGGATGGTGCGTCAGCTGCCGAGTCTGGTGTTCCTTGATATTGATATTGGAATAGCTTGTTGTCCCCCAGTCTAGTGTTCATTGGTGCTTTAGTTAGTAAGAAAATGAACTCGTTAAGTCAAGTTTAGTCACCTTTTTTGGCCTCCAGAACCTAACCCAATGTTCCCCATTGATTACATGTAATTATATATTGCGATTTAGTATATAACGAACATCGTAGGACCCTATCTCGCGATATATCCAGACCCTACTGTACAGTGTTTCTGACCACATACAAAATGTACCTTCAGTCTCTCTTCCCTCTTAATCCTTTCTTGTTCACGCTGCATCTTTTCTTCCTTACGACTTTTGAGGCGTTCTGACCGCTTGACTTTCATATACCTTTGTACTTCAACTTGCTCAGGAGTCTTGGAAAGCTTTTCTTGTGCAGTTTCTGGAAATAGATTAGTTGATTCTGATAAACATTTGGCATAAAGATTCATTAACTCCAATTCACATCTGGATGTTCCATAAATCTTAGACTGTTGTGTGTTCTACCTTTGAGGATTCTATGTAGCCTGTTATAGTTTTAAAAAATATTGGAAATGTAAGACTTCTGCTCTACAAGAGCTGGCACTAGTAATACAGTACAACATTTATTACAGTAAACTCATTACTCCAGCATATGCACAGGCTGAAAATTGGATACATCAGCCTGACCAAACTGTGATTATCAGGGGAAAACAGCAGCATGATCCACCATTACACTGACCAGTTGATGGGTAAATACACCCAAAACCTCTACAAATATATGTTCCGTATACTAGTTTACTGAGCTGTAAAAACAGAAAAAACAGTACTATTATAAGTGTCTTATATAAAATAATGTTACAGTACTGTATTAAAATAACTACTGTCTAATAAGGCCAGAGAACTGTAATAAATAATAAAATACCTGTACTAGATAAATACATAAAAAAAATTGAACCTCTAAGCTACTCTGTGAATCCCAGTACAGGTATATCATGCTCAAGTGTTGTGATGTGGTGAGAGAGTGAGTGACAGTATCCAATTATATTCACTGTACATATCCAGTACATACACTACAAAAGTGTGGGTCACATGTTTTAGAGAAATACAACCACCAATTTCACAAAAAAAGGTAATTTCATCATGCATGTATTTAATACTCATGAAGTTTTTCAAGAACTTAACACCTACTTAAGCTGAGGATTTATTATACATGTCTATGTAATCACTATCCATCTCCTTTATCCCACTGCTATTAAAACAGAGTGAACAAGTAAGACTCGGTCCCCTTTGCTAGATAACCCATTAGTGGCAGTAAACTGAAAACTAAGATTTCACTACACTCTATTGCTTTTTCACTTCTCTAGCTTTAAATAACTGTATACACTCTACAGCTAGGTTAACTGGGGGCAACCCTCAGTGGCTGACCACAGAATTTGAACCCATGACTGTTGGGTCAGAAGCTGAGTATTATAACCACTAAGCCACTGCAACCCAACACCGAGTGGATTATCATACAGGAAAGAGCATTTACTTCATACTTACCTTCACTACCTGTTAACTTGTGTCGCCTGTTTGGAGGTTCGTTAGAGGAGCGTGATGGTGCAGACAGATCTCTCTTGTTGCGAGGTTCTTTGGTGGATTCCTTCTCATGTTTCTCTTCTTCTCCATCTCTGCTCTTCTCTCGGATACGTTTGTCTCCCGGCCTCCAACTTATGAACGCCATGGCTGAAATCACAAGTAATGGCTGAAGATGTGTACACTATATAACAGGTTTATGGCTATAGAAAAATACCTCTAGATGGCATCCTTTTGGTGGTTCTGAAAAAAGAAACACACAAACAACTACAATCATCTTGTTTCTTTGCTTTCTGACTTTCTATTGCAGCTGGTGACTTGTCTGGACAAACAAGACATTTATCAAGATCAGAACAAAAGAAAAAACTCACCGTCATTACATTCAATTCGTCCTCCATGTTTCCTCTTCATCACAGGTCTTGAAATTCTATTAGGGCTTATAGTTTTGTCATCAATATGGTTAAACTCTTCATTTTGTTCATGACCCAAGTTCTCTTGTGGTGATACATGAGAATTTTGTTCAACTGAAGGGGATTGTTGATAATGTTTACAGCGCAAGTCTTGTAAAGTTGGGTCACTATGTTGAGCGGAGCGTCTCTCTGGGGAGTGATTATGGCTTGAGTTTTGATGAGGTGTGTGTGTGTTTCCATCTTTGCTTGGCACAGATGAGGTAGCAGGCTCATTGGAAAGTGGTTCCTGTGAGTGATGTTGAAGAAATGGGGTGCTTGGCTGTAAATGACCATGCTGGACAACCTTTTCTTTGACCTGAGTCTGATCATAATGGCTGGAATGTTGGCTTTTTTGACGAGGTTTGGACGGTAAACTTTGAACCTTCATTTCACCGTCCTGTCTAAAACTGTCGGGGACTTCCTTAAACCTATCCTCATAGGAATGAAGATTTTCCTCAAGATCTCTGGCACTATCTAGAGGGCTACCTATCAAGTCTTCACCTGGACGGAGAGGATAAGAGTTTTTGGACCCGTGCTGTACGTCTTCCCAAACAGCTGTCACTACTTTACCTGTAAATATGTAAAGAAACATTATTATAAGACCAAACAATGCAGTGAATCAAAATCCAGAGGTTAAAGTTAAGATTCATGTACTACTATAAAGTAAATTCTTAACTAGCAAGATCATCATCGTCATCGTTTTATGGCTATTTTCCACGTTTGTGTTTAGCCGCAGTTACTTAATGGCAGCTATCCATGCTGCTTGGTCACTTGCAGTCTCTCTTGTCAGGTTCCTAATTCTAATGTTATTTCTACAAACTTTTCCCCATGAACAAGTTACATACTGTACCATAAATGACGAACTTACTTTTCTTTTGATTTGAGTTTGAATTCCGCAGGGTGATGCTGGAGGTGTTTGGCTTGACTGAATGAGGCCAATGCCCAAAAGGATTTGTTCCTCCTGAAAGAAGAATAAAAGTTTTCTACTAATGAACATAAGAAAAATACAAACATCTTGTGCTTCAAGAATCAAAATTACTCCACTTCTCAATGAGTTTGGTATTTTTCAAGACATTATTTTCAATTCTCTTGTAATCTAACTTTCTGTTAAGTGCCTTCATAAAATGCTGATCATTCTATCGACAATGATAAGGTCACTTACCGTATTTGCCAGCCTATAAGACGCACCTTTCCCCAAAAAATCTTACCCCCAAAACACACTGCATCTTATGTGCCCATATTACTCAACACTGCTGGAAGGGATGGTTCTTTTCAACATTTAGATCTACCTAAGATCATACACAGTCCTCAAATGAACCCCAAATTATACAAATTAAAATTTTGTGTTACTATAACAAATATAAATTCCAGGTAGGTACTAAAAAATAAAAAAAAATGTAAGGAATATTATCACAGACTAAGTACGTAATGCCTACATGGTAAGCCAAAAGGCTGAAGCAAACTCACAACTCCCTCTATCTTTCCCAGTATTTACAAGCTATTCCACCCACCTTTCTTATATTTTATAACAACTGTGCTACAGTATTCCCTTAAAGCTCGCAGTTTTAAAACTTGTATCCCTTGGAAACTCTTGGACTGCCATAGAAAATAAATTAATTAATCTGAGGCTGTGTGCCAGGGATCAAGAGGAGTCAACATTACAAGACAGTACAGAGCACCATATTTCCCAGGTCATAAGGTGCACCCTATAATTAGCAAAGTATATTTGGGTAAAAGAATTTTTGCAGAGTTAATAGCTTACTGTACTGGCAAAGTCAAATCACTGGCTATATGGTACTGTATCATGTTTCTCACTACCACAGCTCACTATCACTTTGTGAACCCATTTTCAAACATTTGTTGGTATTATTAATAAAATTGACCTAATTTAATACAAAATGATATAATTATACCTATAATAATAATAGTGGTTGCCCCTTGTGTGACGAGGATGGCCGGCCCAAGGGCCACCTAGGCGTGAATGTTTAAGGTGTAGAAGCTGTCACCAACACAACCACCACACCCTGAGTTAACAAGTTGCATGACCCAGTGTCAAGGAACAGTCCGAGAAGACCGGATAACTAGCCAATTGCACTAGAGATTAACATCCAGGTCCCCAATTACTGCTGGGTAGACAGAGGCAAATGGTGTATAAGAAACTTGCCCATAGTTTCATCCAGCACGGGGATTGAACCTGGGACCGCTCGCTTGCGAGGCGAGAATGCTGACCATTACACCACAGGTATACACATTACAAATACTTATCAGTACCAGGCATGTTCACAAGTATATTGTAAATGAGCAGAATTATACATTATCACAGGAGAATAATGGGCACTAATCAATCATTTTATTTCATATTGTGTGATTAGTCGAGACTGTCCAGTCCAGGGATTGTTTACATCCTGTGCACCAGATCAGCTGACGTTTCAGAGGTATTGTCTTTGCATTGTCACTACCACAACTAACTATCACTGTTTGGACCTAATGTCCATACAGTATTATTTCATGTTTGTTTATTTATTATGTTATTTCCTATTTATTATATTGTCTTATGCATACATAATGTTGTTATACATGTGCATATAGCTATTTATATATGCATTTTGCACACTCCTGGGACTGGCATGAAATACCCGTGGATTTTGCTTTCTCACAGGATCCATTTTACCTAACCCCAGCGAGTTTGAAGGGAATACTGTACTTCAAGCAAAATTTTTTATACCATCATGATGAAAAAATTAAGTAAAACCATTTAGAAAAAATGAAAGGAAACCCATTAAGAAAAAGCAAAATGAAAGTTTAACACAACTGCCATTTGCATAAACACAGTGTTCAACCCCCACCACAAAAAAAAAACGTTGGGAGCTATGCTAGCACAGCTGATCAGGTAGACTAGAGTGGCATTCTGCTTATTCCCCGAAGTTTTTATGATTTAACTTATGTTATCTCATGGCTCAATAGCACTGGAGATACTGTTGTAATATGAAGGATAAGCATAATGATTTTTCAGTCTTTGAGGTTGGTGTTCTTCAAGGATTTGAGTATGAAGAATAAAATATTTATGAACCTTTTTTTTTACCTTTTTGCTTTTTTTTATGGGGAATAGCCCACCAGGGCCCAGGTCATTGACCCACAATGGGACCTGGGGGTAATAAGAGTAAAAAGAAACTAAAAATAGAAGAGAGAAAGACTATATTATCTACACCACGAAGATGCTGGAAAACCAGCTTTTTGAAGTGAGACAGATTGTATGAGAATGGAAACAGAAAAAGGCAGGAGCATTCCACAGTTTGGCTGTGTGAGGAAAGAAGCATATACTATAACAGGTTATTCTAGTGTGACTGACATCCACAGAGAAAAGGTGGGCACCGCGGGCAAGACGAGTGTTACGAGCCTACAGCCTTGCCGGTGGTACGCAGGATGCCAAATCCACCGAACATTGCCCGTTAAAATACCTGTAAAAGAGAGAGTGAAGCAACATTGCAGTGAAGAGAAAGGGAAGAAAGATTGTCAACTAAAGGAGGAGAGTTAATAAGACCAAATGCCTTTGATTCCACCCTATCTAACAGTTGGACAGAAGAGCCACCCCCAGATATGAGAGCAGTACTCCAAGTTAGGACAAATGAATCCCTTATATAGTTGAAGCAACTGCTCAGGAGTGAAGTAGCTACGGCATCTGTACAGCATTCCCAGCTTTTGGGAGGCAGCTTTAGCAATGTTGTGGATGTGTGACTTCCATGACATATTAGAGTAAATGGTGAGGCCTTGCATATCTATTTTAGAATTTAGCAAAAATGAATGCATCCTGAAATGTGATTGGTGGGAGGTCTTTTACTGTGGAAAGTGTAATTGGTAAATACTGAGTATTGAATTTGACCAAGTTTCTATCTCCCCATTTGGAGATGTTGCACAGATCCGTATTGATAGATAAAATGATATCAGCCCTAGAAACAGATCTAGTTTGAGAATTAGGGGGAAGGGGAAAATGTGAAGAATGAAGAGAAGAATAATCAGTTTAAGAATGGATAGAATTAGTAGTTGTGTGAAGTAAATCATTGATAAAAAGGAGGAGGAGAGTAGGCTAAAGAACAGAACCCTGTGGGACACCACTACAGTATTGATAGAGAAAGACCGAGAGATCGATCCCTCGACAACATCTGCCATAGATCGGTTCTCAAGGAAGCTAGAAATTAAAGAACAAACTGGGGGAAAGAAACAATAAGAGAGAATTTAAAAAAGCAAAGACTTGTGCCATATTCTGTCAAATGCTTTGGAGTTGTCGAGGGCCACGATGAAAGTTTCCCCATAATCCCTAAGGCAGGATGATCAAAGATAGGTGCATGGAGAACAGATCACAAGTAGATCTCGCCTGGCAAAAGCAATACTGGTGATCTGACAAAAGAGGAGCGTTCATGGTGACGTAGAAAATACGAGTTTAAGATAGTTTCGAAAATCTTAGGGAGGGATGAAGTTAAGGCAATGGGGCAATAGTTAGAAGGATTAGAATGGTCACCTTTCTTTAAGATGGGCGGAACCGAGGCATGCTTGCTATGTTTGATATTCAAAACTTAATTGTAGGCATATAAAAATCAATAAAAAAGCATAAAAAGTTACAGTACAGTACTATAATTATAGGCATATAAAGAGCAATAAGAGAAGCGCAAAACAGCAAAAAATAATTTGTATTATTTTTTGCAGCACACAAAGAAATGTTTATTTCCTTTATGCTTTTGATCTTGTGGTGATTATTTATTTTACCTTTTGCACGTTCTATATGTATGATTGTGTGTGCATTTAACCGAGCAAAAAACAGTTACATATATCAACCTAAAATTATCAGTTGAAAAGTAACCATAACATAGCTCAAAGCTTCACCTGGTAGGGTATACCAAGAGGATAGCAGAAGAGAGACAAGAAGACTTTGAAAGATATAGAGAAGGAAATTACAGGATAGGAAAGAGATGGATACTGAAAAAAAAAAACAGTGGCAGCCTTGTATGACTGACAACAAGGTGTTAAAGGTCAGGTAAGTTATAAGGTCAAAGCAGGACTACAGATATATCTTGCAACCTTAAAGTAGACTGGAAAAACATCATAAAAGCAGAACCCATCTGGTAAGCCACTTAGAGAAAAAGAAGAACCTGCAGTGTGTGAAGGTTTATAAGAGTATAAGTTTCTTTTTAAAATTTCAACTTTTGCTGAGAGTCAAAAGCTCATGTGAATCAATGACTTGTATTACCACAATAGTACAAAAATTTACTAAAAGTACTCACCAATAAATTTAGTTTTTCTCTCTTCCTCTGGCACCTCCTCCCAAAATGGGATGCCTCTCTTGAGGAGCTGGGCCAGAAACTCCCGTCGGTCATCCTCCACACCTCCCCGACGTGAATATTCAGCATTTGAACACTGATTTTCTTTATCATACCGTTCTCGCTCTCTTGTCAAACCTCCTCTGTTTTCCCTGCATTCAGTATTATTTCTTCTCTTGGGATCTAAGGCCATCTTTTCTCTATTTACAACAACAGATTCAGACTTTTCTGAATTCTCACGTGGTTTAGGGAATGATACATCAACAAAATTAAACTTCACTCTTGGGGACGGAATAATTGCTTCACGAGGAACATCATTCAACACACGTTCCCTCACCTCCCGAACTGGCTGTAAGTCAAGATCGTCCAGGAGATGGGAACGTGCTCTTGTGGACGCACGGCCAGGAGAAGCCATGACTTGTGGCCGGCATGAGGGTCAGGTTCAGTTACGTCTCTAACCAGGCTTCCATCTGGAAGGACCATAATGTATATTATGTACAGTACAGTACATTACTGTATATGTAAAAACATCATTATTTTAATTAAATTTAAGCACTTAATATTTATTGGATGATTTTTTTCTAGTTCTTAATGCATCTTCTACATATAGTATACACACATTAATGGAATAGTAGCCTATGAAATAAATGGTACGTATTGTGTGAGAACAGTGTGACCAATTGAATTTATTTTTATTTTTTGTAGAATTTTTACCAAATTTTCTTTTAGTGCATAGATTGCATGACTGGAACAGTATATGTAAAACAAGAAAACAATTTACATAACATACCAAATTACTGTGGTCTTGTCAACAAAGTTTATAATGGAAAACAATGGTGTGATAAATCAATCAATTCTATCATACCCAAAACTCTGCCAAAATAAATAGGTAAGCACATGGTGTATAGCACTGTATAGCCTACTGTAATGAGCTTATTAATAATACTATGACACTACTGAGATTTTCAAAGCCTTTTTAAAATAAAATCAATTCAAATAAGTTGTTTCCTCCCTCATTCATCAGATCTGTATGAGAGTGGTACCGTAGTGGTCATTTGTGTGCCTCTACTATTGTGTTGTAGGTTCAATTCTCTACCCGAGACAGATGGGAGAAAGATGTTATCCAGTGTGATACTGTCAAACATTGCAGGTTTTCTCTAGGTACTTAAGTTTCCCCTGTACAGTATTAACACAGAACAAATAAGTGCACAACAAAGAACAGACCAAAAGGCTAGTACTGTAACTGGATAATTAGTGAAATTGTAAATTTGAAATTAAATTAAAAATCATTTAAAAATACCATAACAAGCAAATAAAGTGGCAACACCCACCATAATCTTTATCAAACACTGTACACTAATACAATCTTAAACATCATATTTATGAGGCCTAATATCTGGGTCATCTAAGGTCAAGTTCAAAAAGGGTTACCATGGATAAGTTTTTTACAGTATACATCTGCAGAACTTGGGCATTTTCACTTACTGTATATAGCTACTGTACAATATTTTGAATTCTGATACTGTACTGTACTGTACAGTATATGCAATCAAAAGCCCTTATTGAAATAAAAGTAGTTAGGACTAATATTTTGAAGTTGCCATGCACAGAACTCTATACTGTATTGAGTCTTATACATACAGTGAGATAGAGCAAAAAAACAAAAAGATCACTTTATTCCATAGCATTTCCGTCAGATATTTTTAGTTTTTGAGTTATTTTTAGTACTTTTCTATCTCACTTAAATATAGTAAAGGTTTGCGAGGAAGTCCAATGTTTATTTATTATTCAGCCAATCAGTGGAAGTTTGGATGTCACTTTGATACCGTACGTGTGAGCCAATGAGCGGAAGAGTTGTGAGCATGCCCAAGCTCTGGGAATAGAATTGTGTAGTTGAAGATGGTGTCTCTCTGTGAAGGTTGCTCCTGAGTGGATTGGCGTGCACACTATTGGTAAAATACCAATTTTACTTTAATGTCACACTGAATAAAAACGAAACAAAAAACAATCCGGCTTACAGTGGCAAGATATGTTGGTGGTACAGTACTGTGGTAAAGCACGTACAGTATCTCTCACCAATCTGTCAAGGGATTGAGTCCTACTTGGCCCGGACACACGTGAGAAGGGTGTTATCCAGTGTGAACCTCACTATCAAACATCACAGGTTTCCTCCTGTACTAACATTGCATAGACCAACCGCCCGAACAGCAAGTGGAAATGGTAAGAACAAAAATATGGTGATAATTTTGGAATAAATAAATACAGCTCCTCCCCAACTTACAACCACCCGCAGTTACGACCTGCCTCAGTCGTACCAAAATTTTGTCAAATTACGTATTTTCGAGTCCCAACGTCAGTGATTGCGCTGTGTACTGACAAAATTTTTGTTTGTAATTCACTTTAAAATGGCTGGCAAGCTTAAAAGTGAGAGTTTTGTGGTGCTGAGAAGAAAAGAGAGAAACCCATTTTAGATTTTCTATGTAATATTTAAGCATTTTCGACTTACGACCTGGATTTGGGTCCCGAACCCCGTTGTAAGTCAGGGAGGAGCTGTAATCTCCATACACTATAAGCCCACGTCTTAGTCTGAGGTGACACTTTGATATCAAAACAAACGACTTGGTCAATGTACCACCAACAAACAACAATTACCAGATACACTAACAGCCAATTAGGTTAAAATTCATCCATTGGCTGTCCGCAGGTTCCCGCCATGTTTATCTGAGGCTGTACTCCTCACTTAGAATCACTTGTCTCCTCCCTTCCTCCTCCTCCTTGTAGGTTAGGTTAGGTTGGTTCCTTTGGTATAATATATATATATATATATATATATATATATATATATATATATATATATATATATATATATATATATATATATATATATATATATATATATATATATGTATATGATGTTTTCGTGTAATTCACATCTTCAGGGGTGAGTACAAAAGCGCTTAAAACTTGTTTTTTGGTTATCATACCTGAATCATGCACCTACAGTGATTTACTTGCACACACACACACACATATATATATATATATATATATATATATATATATATATATATATATATATATATATATATATATATATATATATATATATATATATATATATATATATATATATATATAATTTTTTTTTTTTTTATGGGCATTTTGAGGTCATGTGCCCTGGATATTAGGAGATATTCTGAGGTCAATAGAAATTACTTTTTACTATACAAAAGGCCTGAGTCCAATACTGCTTAAGAGAAATGTATTAGATTTTTCTGATGAAAAGGTTGGGTCTGGACCCCCCTGGTACTCCAAGCGGGGAAGCCCCTCACTTCCCTGCCAGCAATACTGTCACTCCACTTATGTGCAACTTGCACCAGAAATGCCATTGAAGAAAAGGGTCTTAAGAGTGTCCAAACTACTGATTGTAACTATAAAATCCCAAAGATTCGTTTAGTGGCAACAAGTTAAATAAACCCAGATTTGGGTCAAACACACACAAGAAACAATTTACTCACACTAAAACCTGTGGACAACCAATGATCGAATATTTACCATCAATTATCTCCACAAATGGGCTTAAAACATTGTATAAATACTACCAGCTAAATAAAGTGACTCACATTACCAGTGACGTGTTGGTCCTCCTCCATCACCCCCTCAACAACCTTCCTCACAACAAATAACTCTATATTCACCTACAACACGTCACAACTTTACATAAATAATGTTGATATTTTTAAAGAGCAAAATATAAAAGTTTGATCAATACCCCGTGATTCACTCGTCCCTATCTCATAAAACACCTTATAACAACATATTTAAACTGCTGTCTCTTTCTTTATCTACCTTTTCCTGTTTTTAAATACACGAAAATGATATAATTAAACATAAAATAGCAAAAGTAAAGGTTAATAAGCAATAAATGACTCACAATAAGAGCGTAACGTCCTCCTCAGCCTCAACTCCTCGACTGATTTCAAAACAAAACGACAATACCTTAAGACACTAAACATTTACTTTTCACTTCAATTAAAGTTATTCTATAAGTTTATAAAATTATTAAGGTAATTATTAAAAACATTTAAATCAATACTAATGTTTAATATATGTTACTTTTCTTTTCAAGGACAGTTGATTAAGGAGCATGTATGTTTTTCTTTAATTACTTTGCTCTACCCTAAAGAACCTCGGCGTCACATCAACCTGCCAAATTACGGTATTTAATTAAGTCATGTGAAGGCCTTACTGTGAACTAAGTAAATGAATTTATATATTTAAGCAAAGTATTATTCTTTTTAAAGTTCGTTATTTTCATCTTCGGAATAATCAAGTTCAAGTTTTATTTTTCTTAATTTAAACTGTATTATTTCAACATACTTTTCTAACTTATTTCAATCAAACAAAATCTTTAAACTCCGTTACTTAAATCTTGTTGATAAGCAATCTTTAAAAGTTCTCTATTAAAATTTACTTAAAATGGCCCTTAAACTTTATTTTCTTTGAGGAAATCAAGAGAAAATGGAATATATTATAGGTAACAGTTTTATTATGATTAATGTTTTTCTGTATACAATAATAAATGTTAATCACGTTACATTAAAGAAATTCAAATGGTTAAAACTAAGAAAAAATATATTAAGAGACACAAAAATGTATATAATTTCCACAGAAGAGAGACACTCATATTTTCTGCCACTACAACACCCTTTAACAGGAGTACAATTTAACATCTCGGCAGCCTTCTGTTAAACTTCCGAAAATTTAGATTAATGAGGATATCTTGTTAACTGTACTAATGTAAGAACACAGAGAGTACATAATATTATATGAGAGATTGCATAGAATAAAAGAGCCTTGACATAAAGGAAAATAATGAAAATTCCACGAAGAGTGAGAGCAGTAGGGAGGAATTTGAGGACCTTTTTTTTTTTATCCTCTTCACCACTGATCAGCTCGTTACCCGCTTGGGCGATAGGTCACGTCTCTGTTACGCACTGTTGGCAAGTACTGGGCATGCACCGGCTCCTGAATGTACCTGAACCCGCTCAGTGTTGGTCAAGTCTTCTCTTGAGAAGAGCTCACACTCGGTGCCGTCCACAACACTTTCTGGAGATTGTTCCAAGAGTTCACAACCCTCACTCGAAAAAGTTTTCCCTCACAGTTTATGGACTTGCGGCTTCTTCAATCTTGAGCTGTGTTATGTGGGGCTCAGGTATGGACATTCGACGGAGTAGTGCCCCCTGAGATGCTTATACACCTCAACTAGGTCCTCCCTTGCCCGTCTGTAGTATAAGCTAGGCAAGTTCAGGCGCTCCAATCTCTCAGGGTAGCTGAGGTGCCGAAGTGCAGGCACCAGTCTGGTGGCCCTCCTTTGAACATTTTCAACCAGCTGACAGTCCCTAGCATATTTCGGGGACCAGACGGGGTGACAGATGGGGAAGCACTTTACTCTTGAAGATCGTTACGAGGGACGGACCGTCTAGATATCTGAACGACCTTCTTATAAGACCCAATTATTTATTTGCCTGATTTACCTCCTTCTCGCAATGGCCCGAGAACTTCAGCTCATTGTCAACATACACACCTACGTCCTTCTCACATTTAGTCTCAACTAGTACATTTTCTTCATCCCGTTGGGACATATGATACGCCTCCTTACCGTTGGTACGTCCCAGGTGCATCCTCTTACACTTCGTGACATTGAATCTCAGCAGCCATTTCTTCGACCATTCTTGGAGCCCACAGAGGTCCTTCTGCAGCTTCTGCAGCTCTTCACAGTTCACTTGGTTCTTGATTTCCCGAAATAACTTGGCGTCATCGGCAAACATTTGTATGGAGGAGTGTACAACGTCAGGTATGTCATTTATGAAACAAACAAACAACAGTCGGAGCTAACCTGAAAACCTTAAGGATTCATATTACGCTCAAACGTCCACAAAACCTTCCGAGTCCCCAGTGGAAACGTCCCCCGTTTTCTCTGTTTCCCCCGCCTTTGTCTATGGGAGCAGACGCTGTATGCTGGGACCTGTTGCCATCCATTCCTTTGTAATCAATTTAATTTTGCTTTCGATAGCTGAGTCAGAGCATTGTTAGTGAAGATAATAGTAGAGAATGAAAAGGAGTTCATAGTCTCAATTTCAACGTCAGAGGGTACCGTAAATTAATTCATTGGAATAGGAGTAGCTGGACTCCCTGGCCTAGTTTGAGTGAGGGCGCCGCGGGCATTTTAACCGTTAGTAAGTGCCCGTCCCTTCATCCATACAGGTATGCCATTCCACGCTGTGTTGTAATTTGCCCTTCTTTAAGTGATTTGACCCAATTAATAGTTGATTGTGCAAGTGTTACAGTAACGTAGTTGATATGCTCTGAGTAAAGTCATATTTACGTCTTTAACGTCCCCTGAAACGTGTTGTTGTTGTCACCAGTTAGTAAGTGCCCGTCCCTTCATCCATACAGGTCCCTAACGCAGCCTAGGCCGTGTCTGTAGGGTGGATGTTGTATCCACTATGTCTGGGGACATGTCCGAGGTCCAGTAGGATCAGTTACCTTCGTGAGACCCGGCCGTCAGACACTTCAGACCACCTATAGCCCCCATAGCTGGCTCGTCTGGCCCTAACGCTCGGTCCACGAGGTGACCCTGGACCACCAAGCCACACACCACTACCAGCCCCCATCATTGGTGGATGAATGTCTACCTCAGTAGGGCTATATTTGTGTGGTGGAATTAACCCACTGGGATCTCCAGAGTTCGTCGGATAGTACTCCATGGTGGCTGGACCCCATGGCTGTTGCTTGAGTATCACTCCTGACGACTGAGTGTTGTAGTGGCAGTTGCCTAGTATTTATGGTGCTAAGTGACTATCATAGTTGTGTTATTGAGTATGTCCACCCCGTAGGGTTGGAAAGGTATTGAATATGTCCACCCAGTAATGGTGTGAGTATGTTGAGCCTGAGGGCCTAGTAATAGATTTCGTCTGTTAGTACAAACCAATTCTTTCTTCTAATTTCATATTCATGTTTAAATAAACTTTGTATTTGTATAATTGTGTATATTATTTACCTACAGTATTTACCGTTATTTCTTCCCTATTGCTTGATACTATCATTACACCTACCCACGAGCCTCCTATCGTCACGCTACCAATGGTGATATATAAAAGTAAAAGGAATTGTTACTGGCACACAGGCCCTCATGAAGGGTGGCAGTAGCAGCCCTCATAAATGGTGGCAGCTCAAGCCCTCATAAATGGTGGCAGCTCAAGCCCTCATAAATGGTGGCAGCTATGGTGATGTAATGAACATAGTATCGAGTTGGGAGGAATGACTGTGATACTGTAGTTTAACTGAGTTATAACCATTTCTCTGTACGGGTATTTAATAACCATTCCACTGTAACTAATGAGTATTTCAGATTGCTAATGATTTTGTCCCATATTTTTCCGAGGTACAGCTTTTTGTGGTGGTTTGCAGAGAGAGTGAAATAAGTTCAAAGAAATACCTTGGAGTTAGGTTAGAAAAAGTCTTGTTTAAAGTAAAAGGAAACCTGCAACAATAACTTGTAGAGTGTGAATAAGGTTCATTAATAGTGGAAGAATTTTGATATGTAACAATCTGCCCAAATTTTTTTTCTGTTGTTAACTCAGTATTACTTACAGACAGTGAATACATGTTTGGGCCGTGGCACTAGTTGTGAAATGTTCCATCGTGGGAGTGCCCAGTGTTTTAATTCTGAGTGCTAACAGAAGCATTGCACTATATGCAAAGGTTAAGTGGATGCTAATTCTGCATTTGTAATATTCTTTAGTTATGTGTTAGGTAGGATATATATTCCATTTACTTAATATCTCGGGGCATTTTACAGTTCCTACTATTAATATTCCTATGTATACGCTATAATTTTAAAGTTATTTTAACCAGGTGCTAACGGGTCATTATTTTGTGTAACGTATGTTATGTGAACTCTAATGCCAGTATACTTTCAGAATACAGTATTATATATGTGAGGACCTTATGGTGATACGGTATATGGAAAATGTTATACAAGTGTATGGACCCAGAATTGTGAGTACGGAAATTCGTGAAGTGTTCACGCAGTGTTGCACCATACTGAGTCTGTGAATGGCAAAGTGTCTAAGTGAATTTTTGATGCCATAATAGTATCTTTGGGGAGATTAATAATCTGAACAGTAGTTTGAATAGTTGATGCATGGAGTGTTAGTCGTATTGCAGAAAATCAGTACCAGTCCTTGGGTCTTGAGTGAGCACTGTGCGTGTATTGTATTTACAGTGGGGTATACCTGTAGTATTGATTTGTTGTAACACAATGGCAGATGCTAACGCAAATAAGGGGACCATGACGGCCAAAGCCGCTGTTGATTTAGCAACAAAAGTCCAAGCACTTCTGGCTAAACTCGCTAAAGCCATGGGTAAAGGAGGAGAAAACCAGTGGTTAGACTGGATCTTTAAGAAACAGTGGGCTTTGTAAGTGAACCTCCTTGGTTGTTGATGGGTAGTGAAGTGCACAATCTGTTGTAGGTAACTTTTGGTAATTGAAGAAGAAAAAAAAAATGGAGGATTTTTTTTTTGGGGGGTTAAAAGTATTTTGCAGAGGAAGGGTCAATTTGCAGTAAAGACAGAGATTGGAAGATGTATTGGCAGTTATGCAATCATCTGAAGGGTATCTGTTACTAGTATGAGTAAAGATACCAGTGGTGAGTTCTCAAGTTCTGGTTGGTAAGTCCTACGTAGGCTGGGTGTTGTTGGTATATAGGTGTAGAGTTCGTGACTTTCAGGGAGTATTCGGGCATATAAATATGGTGCTATTACTTCTACATGGCAAATGCCATAAGTACAGACAGTTTTGGTTTGGTGGTGTTCTCATGAGGACCGTTTCGTTAGCATTGAATTCTTGGGAATACCCGCTCGTTCGGAGTCCCTTGAAGGGTGCTGCCTCTCGCGAGTGCGACATAACTCTTT